CACAATTGGTAAAGATATAATAGAAACAGGATGTATTTACTCACACCAGCCCGCGCTAACACTGGTAATAACATCTTGTGGTTACTGTCTCTCCCGCTACATCCCGCCTCATAATTCAAGAGTGTCGAAGCTTCTCTTTAACTTTGGGCTAAGCTGTAGACAAGTCAGTGTACTGTAGTGTTGGTCTCAGGTTACTTTAATGTTGACAAAATAAGAATGATGACAACTGCTCTGGTATTGCTCCTGGATATTCTTATTATGTAGGTATGTATGTGTAGAGACGTTCTGGTGGTGGAAAACGAGTGTGCTGGGTATGGCCGAAACAACCGTGGTCCGGGGCGGCGGCGGTCAGCTGGGCGGGCGTCTGGTGAAAGCGCGCGCACACTAACACACGTCTTTATGGTAATGAATTAGCAAGGGAAGGAGCGTAGGAATGAATGGTGAAAGTTAGTCAGGGGGATAGTGAGGTGGAAGTTACATTAACGAAAACCAGAAGAACACATCATGGTGCTTAAGAACAAAAATGATTCCTAGATGTTGGAACTTTGACTTTCTTATCCTGAAACAATAGACGTGTTGGGGGTTTACTGATTCATTTCTCACGACTTTTTCTTCTTTGAGGTTCACGTGAATGTCATTTTTAACGTGAAAAATGATGAAGGTGAGCGACTTAGGATTTTTAAACGACGCAAGTCACAACCCACACACTACAGCTGACAGTTCTGGGTGTTTGGTTAGATTAGGTAAGGTATACTGTACATAGACCGTGGGGGTATACAATTTCCAATATACCTTGACAGTGCGGGTATACAACAGTAATAAACAGTAAAGCAGTTTGACCAAGGCTAGCCAGTAGCAGCCATTGTGGGGGATATGACCTTTACTCCATATATCCGCCTCTCAATCGCTGCTCACGACCTCGGCTTCGTCGTAAGAATTTCCTCCCAGTTCACCGTTCTGGCGAACCCCCCTTTTCATTAGAAAATGAAAATACTTTTTCTTTAATGCAGTATAGTACTCAGGCGTTTTTGAATAGTAAAAAGTAATTACGATTGATCCCAGAATATCTCCTAATATCAAGTGCACATGGCCTCAAAGTACCCATGATTTTGGTCACATTTAAGAAAAATTCCGGGGTGGGCGCGCTGTGCTCGCCATGTTCCACCACCCACAACTTCTTGACTCCCTCTTTTGATATTCCTGGATCTGCCCCTGTGGCTATGTTGTGTCCGCAGATCAGAGTTTGGTAGAATCCACTCATAAGGGGGTAAGATATACACTGGTTTTCCATTTTCATGAAGTAGTTTGTCCGTAATTAACATAGCTGACACTAACCTAACTAGCCCAGCCTAGCCCAGCCCATTCCTAGTGAGCCAGGGCTTCTCTCCCTTAACTAACGCATCCCCAACCCAACCAGGTTATCTTAGTGTATGATCTACAATTAAACCACTTGCGGGTGTCAGGATAAACAAGGACCAATCAACGTAAATCATTCCTCGTTCCAGTGGATTTTACACTTGGCCGACCCAAACCCAACACGCTGTAAGGGCTGGCGTGTGTTGTGGCGGCGCCTGACAACCCTTGGTGGTGGGGCTGGCAGGCCTATGGAATTCAGCTAACCCGCCAGAGATAAAAGATCTTTCTCACTCACATACCTTACCCCTTAACCCCCCTCCCCACACACACACTCTATTATCCTCCTGTTTTATCTTTGCGATGCTCACTTGTTTTCTATTGATTAAACTTTGTTGGATTGTATCTTATAAGGTTTTATAATGTTAGCGAGAGAATTTGGCGGACTGACACATATTGTACCGGCGGCCACCCTGTTGAGAGCTTAACACCATATAATTAGTATTTTTTACGATATGTGAAAGTAGTTTTCCTAATATGTTACGTGACCGTAAATATCAAGGTCTAATTTATTTTCCCCTCAGTGACGCTATTGGAATGTTCTGGGTGATTATTATGTACGTAAACCACTCTGGAGAGATATACGTACTGATGTGTGTACGTATGACTGAAGAAATATGCGTGTACGTATGTGACTTAATAGGATATACATGTACGTTTAAACAACACATCCACAAGAACACGCACTAACAGACAGGTAATCAAACGCACTTGTATAGAAGACAAAAAAAATATTGTAATCCTCTCACTGAGCTAGACATTGACAATGGTTTACACGCACTGCTACCTCACCTTACAGTGTGGCGTAAACATTACTGTTACCTCGGCTATTAGTTAATATTGTTTATAAACTTGGTCATGGTGAAAGAGTTTTTATATACTGTACCTCAGAGACCATTGATGTATGATGTTTCGTGATTTACTGTATTCGGCGCCTGGGTTCAACTTTCCTGTAATAATCGATATATTATCTGTTTTCCTACATTTTGAAATAATTTCATTTCAAAGATAAAACTTGTCATTTGTTTATATATTATCCAGGGTATTTATTTAATTAGTTCCACAGTTGGTTTGTTGTGTGTGAGCCCGGGAGAATATGTGTAGCCTTTTGATGATTTTGGACGAAGTTTTCATGATAAATACCTTCCCTGATATACACCGCCAGTGATTATACCAGAGAATGTTTGAACGCCGCCAGGAAACTTGAGGTAGACTTGGCGCTCATGTGCTTCAAGTTCACAGGAGTCTCCAGTCACTGTGTTCGTCTGTCGGTAGTGCATTGAACTCGATAATCGATCCAAAATTAACTTTCTTTTGAAGTCTGACTGAAATGTTTCGCTGTTGTTCTGTTATGATCACCGAAGAGCTGCTCAGTGAGAAGAAACTTCCCGCAGAACTTGAACTTTTTACTCAATAACTTGGGAGATCTTCACGAAGTTTGTCGTGATGTTGCATATAATTTAACTGTGTTTATGTAATGGTTCTTAGCGACGTCATTCACAAGTACTTATGTATGTTCCCGCTGCTTGTTGATCCATAGAATAATTGAAGGTGAAGTAATAGTAAATCTGTCTCTGAGGTTTATACCAAGACCATTACTCGGCCAGTTGTCGCCTCGTACTAACGAAAGCTCTTGACAGTATTTCCTGAGTCCTGACATATTCAGTCGGGTATCTTTAATTTGAGGAGAGTTAACGTTTCTGATAAATTTACTAATGCATTTGTACATTAATCTCGTCCTTTTTTATATCACTAAACAATATTACGGTACATGTGGATAACACAGAAGTAGCTGTCCCCTGAACAGTTAACCGTTGACCAGCTTCGAGTTATAGAATTAACTTATCAAATGTGTTCTAAGTTGAAAAGGGACGTGGTTAGCGAGTCTGATACAGCTACCCAATAAGACCAGAATATAAGCGGCTGCCCACATACATGAAGGCTGATATAGAGTCTTGTGTGTAGTGTGGTGTAGCGTGGGGGGGGGGGGCACTACTGGTAGGTGTAGTGCGCCGGAAATGGCTAATCGTCTCTAAGGAATCCACATTCTTGCGGCCACCCACTGTCACACATCACGTTAAGCCATGAACCTGTGATTGTTGACTTGAGTTGTCCGAGAGATGGCGAATGATAGCGTGTTAAACCTCATGGATAACAAAAAATAGCCCCTCAGCTTATTTTACCTTAAGATTTACCAACCTAACCTAACCTAACCTGATATAATTTAACTTGAACCAACCTAACCTAAAGTAGCTCCAGGTAGCGTTTTTTTAATTAGCAGGTAAAATAAGGTGGGAGGCTATTCTTCAGATGCCCTAACCACACTACAAGATAATACTGTAATTCACTTTCAGTCTCTTGTGCAGTGTGTGAAAACAACAGAAGTTCCCAGAATAATAAAACAACTGTTAAATAGAGGCCGGAAGAATTGATACCGTACACACAGCTGTCCAGTCCAATATGTGAAGGTTGTTGACCGGTGGAGAGCGAGAGAGAAACACAGCCTAGTGTTATCAATACTAGGGTACATTAAGTCTTTTCCTCTACCAGTGTGATTCATAACGCCTTCCTCTGTTGAAGATGCATTTAAATTAGACAGTAACACAAAAAAGTAAGATAATGCAAATAAGAAAGTCGTGGTCTTTGGTTGCTTAAAACAATATACTGGTTAGGGATTTTTCTTCCTCTTCCTCCCCCTCCCTCTCCACTCCTCTCACACTTCCGGGCTGGATGGAACAAACAAGAACGTTAAACAAACATTCTCGAGGTTGTTTATTCTGTGTTGCCACGATGAATGATGTAGTCCTACACATACATACATGTTGGTGCTACGCGTTAACACTTATCTACATACACCTGAACATGGAAGCAGTTGGAGTGACTTGTTACTGGTGTTAGGCCAACGCTTGTGTTGTGGTCCAGAGTTAACGATCCTGGTGGTAGTTGGTAGATTAAACAGTCTTGATCTGTTGAGGTTATTTTTACGGCGGTGTGTGCCGAGGGGTTCATTCACTTGGTTTCTTTCGTATTTTTTCCTTTCATTGTTCCTCCCGAACTCTTAGCAGGGAAGACTATTATAGTGTATCAAGGTGTTGGTTGTCTCAATCTATATTAATATTTCGATTCTGTTCAAATAACTTTTAATAGCCTTGATTTTTTTCCATACAGTACTATATTTGCCTAAAGACCACCCTAACTAGAGGTGCCCATACCGAGGGAAGAAGCAGCTACGGTGTCAGTCACCCCTAACTATTTGTCGTAAACCTTAAAGAAAAAAAGAGCCGCATACTTTTACAACAAAACTTTATTTTTACCAGACATAATTTATAGCAAAGTTATCTTTTAAGGATTTTGTTAGTTTTTCATTTGTCTTCTTTAACAAACATAGTACATGATGGTTATTTTATTTCGTGTTTGGGTTTTAAATTAATTGTTTTTAAATCTTGTTAATGTTTACAAAATTCCTGACATTTAACCTATTGTTTAATTTTTTCTCGTTTATTTTTTTATTGTTTTCTTTTCCCCCAAATTTCCCAGATATTCCATTTCTTCTGTTACCCATTTTTTATTGTTTTCTTTCTCCTCAGGTTTGGGTCAGACTTGGTATTGGTGGAGAGTTACGAGCAAAACAACTTTACTGAGGGTCTAGCGCACCTCACTCTCGACCACCCTACCAATAGCTACTGGCTGGGTCTCGTCTCCCTCAATGACCTGTCCACTAACACCCTGGAGAGTGCTGGAGGCAAGCATGTCTCCCTCTACTCTGGTAAGTATCTTCTATCATAACCATTTAGGTGCTGCTATAGCGTGTGCAGTCTACAAGATATTTAGGTCAGGTCAGGTTATGTTAGGTTAGACTGAAGATATCTTTGTAGACCGCACGCTATAGTAGTACTGCCATTTTTGTACACTCATATATTTTATACAATTACACATCACACACACACAGTAACATTAACATGTGTATTAGCTTATTCAAGACCAGATTTGACCAACACTGGTGCAGCTACAGATACATTCTGGAGCCAGCATATGCCCAGTGTGTAATAGAGACGTGACCGATCACCCAAGCATCTAAAAAGCCGATCACCGGCGAAGAGGATAAAGTAAACTAAACTGAGCGTGAAAAGAGAAACAGACACCATCACCCATAATCATATGCAGTACAGTGCTGTAATAACACACACACACCTCATCACATGTAAACATACACATCAATACTCTATCACACAACAACACATGCAGTGACATACACTCTATTTGAGGAGTTACGCGGTTACAAATATTTGGGAAGAGCCGTAATAATACAAATGTATGTAACCAACTGGTCAATATAATTTGTTTACATTTAATTTCACCCTAGATTGCTTGTTGGCTTTCTTAACATCGATGGTTTTAATACCCTTTTAATCTTTAATTAAATTTGGTTTATTGGTTTATGTTAGTTAAGTTTGTTCAGGTGCTTTAGTTCAGGTGAAGTAGCAAGACTGAAATCCTGTGTACATCAGCTTGTACAGGTGTGACAGATGTGTTCACTTGTTCCACAGGGTTCTGGTCTCAGGGTCAGCCTCAGGTGTCTGGCGGGGAGTGCGTCAAGGCGAGGCTCTCCGACCAGCATCAGTCATGGGAGCTGAGTACCTGTGAGTCCCTCCTGCCCTTCATGTGTCGCGTCCAGGCCTGCACCAAGGGCGCCATCCTTTGTTCCAATGGCAGGTGTATTAACAAGGTCAGTTGTAGTGATGGTTTTTGTAAAACAGGATAAGTTTTATTTGCGGGCTCTCCTGACTTAATTTTTCTGTTATGCTCACCATTGCCAGTGAGGAGGGGGATAACTTTAAGCTAGTATTTCAGCACTGCCACCAACCTGTATCTCACTTGAAATGGATCTTGGTACTGTACTGAACTAGTACATCTGCTCAGCTAATTACTGTACGGGGTGTCCCAAAAGTCCATTACTCTTAGGCAGAATTCACCATTAATCTAATTTTCAACAAACTTTCAAACTGCATGCCATGGATCACTGCTTAATGGTATTATTGTACTTCATCAACAGGCCTTCCAGTGTGATGGGCAGAATGACTGTGGGGACATGTCAGACGAGATGGACTGTCCCAATCGCTGCCAATTTTACATGCGCTCCTCTGGTGACTCCATCGAGAGCCCAGAGTACCCTAAAAAGTACGGGGCCAACATGGACTGCAAATGGACGCTTGAGGGCCCCGTCGGTCACAATATCATCATTCAGTTCTTTGAGTTTGACACCGAAAAGAACTTCGATACAGTGCAGATCCTGAGTGGAGGCCGCACCGAGGACTCTGCTGTGTCACTCACCACACTCTCAGGCAGGCAGGACCTCACTGACAAACTCTTCATCTCTGCCTCTAACTTCATGATACTAAAGTTCAAGACGGACGCCTCTGTGGAGAAGAGAGGTTTCAGGTGGGGTCAGGGGGATGTCTTACCAAAGGATGTAATCTGTATACTGTATCATCTTGTGTAGATCTTGTCATGCTTATTATGTAAATCTTTATATACCAGGTGTTCCAAATCTTACCTCCAGTCACACTAGGTGATACTGTACTAATCCCACATCTCCGTGCAGGGCGTCATGGAAGACAGAGCTGCAGGACTGTGGTGGTGAGTTGATCGCTACCCCACAGGAGCAGATCATGACCTCATACAACTACCCCCTCAACTACCCCGGCGGCCTTGAGTGTCTCTACATGCTCAAAACTCAGCAGGGGCGTGTCATCACCCTTGAGATCTTGGACTTAGACCTTGAAGAGGGTAAGTCACTGGGTTGACACTTGTAAAGCACCAGCCATAGGCACTTGTTACTTACACTTGAAAATGTTAAACAGAAACTTGTGAAATAATATTTTTTTTTACATATACAAATACTGTTCAGATTATTGTCTTTATGATGACCACCAAGAGTATAGTGAAGGAGGTACTGTACTTCATTTACCAGTACACTAATATATGGGATTACAGTACTGTATTACAGTTTTTACTTTTATCGAAAATACACTGTATAGCTGTACTGTATAGTTAAATCTGTGGCTACTGTATCAACTTTCAGCCACATTGCTTGTGTATTCTTCAGCTTTCATTTTTTTTGCTGAGTACAAAAAGGGCCAATGTAAAAAAAAATGCTAATTTAGATTTTGGCCCTATGTAACCCAGGTCTCATTGGCCACAGTCTAAATTGGCATTTTTTGACATTGGCCCTTTTTGTACTCAGCCATGGCATTGTAGCATGTACAGTATTATTTCCCAGTCATTGTTACTTCAGTTCATTATCATGGTTAAATTTATTTGTCTTTACTTATTTCCCTAACTCATGTCCATTTCAGGAAAGGACTTCATCTTGGTGAGGGACGGCAACTCTCCCTCAGATAACACGTTAGCTCGCCTCACTGGCTCCCAGGAACACAACCCTCGCTTCATCATCTCCACAGGTCCCGTCATCTACTTCTACTTCCACACCAACCTTGGGATGTCTCGACGAGGGTACCGCATCAGGTAAATTAAATGATGCTATAAATAAATACACATATGTGGTATACAGTACAGATGTCACACACATCTTCAAGTGCTTTCAGGCGACAGATTCTTCTTTAACTTTGTTTATTATCCATTACTGAGTATTATGAAGAATATTGATAGGATGAACTACACAGGTATTGTCTGTCGCCTCAGGTACTACTCAGGGTGTTCTGTGGCCATTGCTGCCAATCAGGGGACCATCTCCTCCCCAGCGTATGGCATCAGTCAGTACCCAACCAATCAGGAGTGCAGCTACCTCATCACACGGCCAGGGGGCGGCCCTCTCTCTCTAAAGGTATGTTTGTGTTGTGTTGGACGGCAGGATATTGAGTTATGTAGCAGGAATTTGAAGTTTGTTATTGTTATTAACATTGAATTTTTTTTAGTTTTCTGAATAGGAAAAATGCTGACAAATATTAAAAGGGGAAACAGTAAAACAAAACAAAAAGTAGTCATAATTTATAAATAAGGTAGTGTAGAGTTTCAAAACATTGAACAGATGCCTGAGCAGAGGTGGAGTGTGAGGATGTCTCATCAACAGGGTCAAGGCCATACATTTACATCTGGTAATATTCTTAGTGGACAGTTGATGCCATTAGATGAGTTTGGCCTTATTTTGTTTATTTTATGTTAACTCGTGGAAGTTTATATAGATTATGGTATATTTAATATTCTTATGATTTATATTTAACAGTTCAACGACTTTGATGTGGAGGACAAGGACACGGTTCAGGTGTACGACGGGATGACGTCCTCTCAGGGTATCCGTCTCCACTCTGGCCGTGGCTTCTCTGCCAACAACCCTCCTGCCATCACCCTCACTGCTGACTCTGGCGCTATGTTCCTCATGTTCAACTCGGACCCACTGCGACCAGCTAAGGGATGGTCGGCTAATTTCTCTGCTGGTGAGTGTTAATGCGACTCTTGGGGAAACTCTGTTGGTCACATGTTGGTACAGTAATGTAATGTTTGTGTCTACTTTAGTGTTGATAGTTAACAGTTATTTTATTCATCTTTACAGTATAGTAATTAACATAAAAAATTCAGATATAACTAATATAACTTACAACATAGAAATCAGAGGTAAATGAAGTAAGGATGACAATGTTATTCGTCCACAGACTGCCCAATGTTGACTGCAGGTGAGGGTGCCATTGCCTCATCACGTGACACATCATTCGGTAGTGTTGTGACCTACACGTGTCCTGTCGGTCAGGAGTTAGCTAACAACAAGTCCTCCTTAGTGACAACCTGTATGCCTGGAGGCTCCTGGTCCACCGACTATATCCCTAAATGCCAAGGTAATGCTACACAACGTTGTTGATATGGATAGTAGTTTATAGTACAGTACTGTACTTAATATTTGCAAAGGAAAGATTAGGCATCCCAGTTTATTTCAACTAATTATTAAACACCCTAATGTGAACCTAACCCCCTCCCCCCCCACACACAGGTAGTGTTTAATCATCTGGTGAAATAAACTGGGGTGTAATATATGTCATCAGTTCACCTACATAAAATGTTTTATACGTCTGCAATATAACTTATGTTGCATTGTAAGTCTGTTTATCTATATTTATTGCTTCTGACTAATGTTTCTTTGTTTACAGTTGTTTACTGTGGTCCAGTGCCTCAAATTGACAATGGGTTCAGTATTGGTGCTACCAACGTGACATACCGTGGACAGGCCACCTATCAGTGCTACGCTGGCTTTGGCTTCCCCAGCACCAAGGGTGTGGAAACCATTACCTGTACAGAACACGGGGAGTGGGAGCGGCTACCTGAGTGCCTTGGTGAGTACTGTACACCTGTATTAATGATGTATACTGTATACAGTTATACAACTGGAAAACTTGACTGATATTAAATGTACTTTGAAACACCTATACAGTATGCTGTACAATACACACTAGGGGTAAAACATATAATAAGTAATGAATGTAGCAGTATGGAGCCTTGTTAAAGTCAACAACATCAGTTTGTTTTATTGTTGCGTTCACACTCAGGTGTTGTTGGCATGGTAACAGTCACCTGCCACAGTTGTATATATACCGTACAGTCTTTCTGTTCTCTCCATGTTGGATAAAGGTGTTATAATATTAATTACCACAATCAATGTTATAATATTAATTACCACAATCAATGTTATAATATTAAACAGATATGTAGTACAGTAGTGAATTAAAGATACATTAATGTACTTTCAGAGAACATTACCCAATTTCCTCTTTGACAGCCTCACAGTGCCCAGCCCTGCTGGAGACACCGCACGCCAACCAGGCCGTGCTTAATGGTGGTGGTCGTAGTTACGGTACTGTCGTCAGGTTCGAGTGTGAGTCTGGCTACTACCGCACTGGCCTCCCTGTCATCCACTGTATGTCCAATGGCTCCTGGTCAGGTGATGTGCCCACTTGCTCCAAGATCGAGTGCCATGACTACCCAGAGGTATGTACTAAAACTTTAGATGTATCAAAAACATTCCTTAAAAAATCACAACTTTTCATTTTGTTGTTTTATTTATCACTTTTGCCGACACAAAATAATATTTGACTGCCTACTTTTGTGAATCATAATTCTGGCAATGAAATATTGATGTCGGTATTGTGTCATCCACTACAATACACTACAGTACTTTAAAAATATATTGCATTAACTTAATTCTTGTTGTTATTAATAGCAGATGTAGAGATTAGTAAATGGTCTTCCTACTAATTATGTCCAAACACTCACACTCCTCCTCAGATCACTAACGGCTTCTTCGCTGACCTGACCCGAGACTACTACTTCGAAGACGAGGCCAGAGTACAGTGCCACCGTGGCTACAAGCTTGTTGGCTCTCCCATCATCCAGTGTGGGCCTGAACAGCAGTTTGTCAACCTGCCAACATGTGAAGGTAAGTTTGATCTGTTCATTAACGCGTAGTAACCATTTTATGGCATCCCAAAAGAATATAGACTTTTTGGTATTTTTTAAATGTATGTATGAAGCAAATGCAAAATGATCAGGACGTATGAGTATGTTTTTTATTGTTGAGTTTATGTTTGGTATACTGTACATGTTTGTTATATTTGATGAGGGTGTTACTTCAGACATCAACGAGTGTGACGCTGCCCAGTGTGACGCCGCCTCAACAGAGTGCCAGAACAGCCCGGGTGCCTTCTCCTGTATGTGTAAGGCAGGCTTCAGGCCCAACCTTGACTGCCGTCCACGAGGAGATCTTGGAGTGTCAGATGGCGGCATACCTGACGATGCCATATTTGTGTCCTCCACTGCAGCAGGCTACGAGAAGAATGTAAGTACTGTACTGTACTGTATGGTTATCATCACTAGGTCATTAAAATCTCTGCTGTAATTTTCATGTTGCAGATTATTCTCTATTAAAATCGCATATACATTGAGGAGTGTGTCCCAATTTATTAATTTATGTTAATGTCATTAATAATGTTTTATGTTTATTGCTCTGTCATTATTCTGGGATAATTAAACACACTAGATAGAATGTAAGAATGACTTCTTCAATTTCTTTTACAGAGTGTGCGTCTGAACTCTCAGCTCGGGTGGTGTGGTGCAGAGCACGAGCCAGGCCGCAACTGGGTGATGGTTGACCTGCGCGTTCCTACAGTCATCATTGGTTTCCGCACCCAACCCGTCGACCGCACGGATGGTCAGATTGCCTTCGCTAAATCTATTCGGCTACAGTACACAGATGATCTGACGGACGTGTTCCGAGAGTACACGAACCGCGGAGGATCTCCTATAGAGTTCCGCATCACCTCCGGAGTGTCTCTGTCAGTCGTCAACTTACCCACTCCTGTAGAAGCTCGATACATTCGCCTCAACGTCGCTGATTATGAAGCAGCACCTTGCCTCAAGTTTGAACTTATGGGATGTGCACGTCAAGACTGTATAGATGTAAATGAATGTGCTGACAGTAATGGAGGGTGTGACCAACGCTGCATCAACTCTGCGGGTTCTTTCTCCTGCTTGTGTAATGTTGGATACGACCTCTTCACAGATAATGGAACGGCTGGCTTTTACATCGAGAAATCGGAATCCGGTCTCCGAGACGGCGACATTTATCGCCTGAATAAGACTTGTGTACGTAAGATGTGTCCAGCTTTAGAGTCTCCAGAAAATGGAATGTTGCTTGACACTCGTGAGATGTACCATTATGGGGACCTGGTAACATTCCAGTGTAACTTCGGATATGTTATGGTCGGTACAGAAACATTAACGTGTACTAGTAATGGCATCTGGAATGGTACCTTGCCCGAGTGTCGCTATGCATCCTGTCCGCCACTGCAGAATGACCAAACACAGCATCTGTCAGTGCATTTTGCTGACCCAGACTCTCATTTAATTCCATTCAAAGAAAATGTAACAATTACATGCAGCCAAGATGGCAGACCACTGAAAAATACATTGACATCTGAATTCCGAGAGTGTGTGTATGATCCTCAACCTAGCACTGCAGACTACTGGCTCTCGGGCATTACACCCGAGTGCCCACGTGTGGACTGCGGCAAACCAGCAGAGACGCCCGGCGCTACCTACGGCTTCACTCTAGAGACTCAGTATCAGTCATCCTTCTTCTTTGGCTGTGAAGAGACGTTTAGTCTGGCTGGCCAAACCAGCAGGAATGATAATGCAGTTAGATGTCAAGCTGATTCAACCTGGGACTTTGGTGACCTGAGATGTGAAGGTCCTGTTTGTTCTGACCCAGGCCACCCACCTGAGGGTATTCAGATTGCTTCAAGTTATGAGCAGGGGTCTGAGGTGAAGTTTGAGTGTACCCGCCCAGGTTACATCCCCATCACAGATGAACCCATTCACTGCATCCGTGAACCAGAATGTCGTGTTGTTGCTCCTATTGGTATTGCTTCAGGGAAGATTCCAGCTTCTGCCATCAACGCCACGTCTCAGAGAGGGAATTATGAGGCTCATAACATTCGTCTGAACTCCGCCACAGGCTGGTGCGGTCAGCAAGAAGCCTTTACGTACGTCACCGTAGACTTAGGAAAAGTGCACCGCATTAAGGCAGTCTTAGTGAAAGGCGTCATTACAAATGATGTCGTTGGAAGACCGACTGAAATTCGCTTCTTCTATAAAGGACACGAAGACGATAATTACATCGTTTATTTCCCTAACTTTAATCTCACAGCTCGAGATCCTGGGAACTATGGTGAGCTGGCGATGATCACACTACCCACCGTGGTGACGGCACGCTTTGTTATCCTCGGTATTGTGAGCTATGATAAGAACCCTTGTCTTAAGTTTGAACTGATGGGTTGTGAGGATGAAGCAGCAGAGAACCGTCTTCTTGGTTATGATATGGGCTACCCATTATGTGTTGATAATGAACCACCACAGTTCCAGAACTGTCCCATCAATCCCATTGTTGTCCAGAAGGGAGATGATGGCATCCAGAATGTCAACTTCACAGTTCCAACTGCGTATGACAACTCGGGCATGATCGCCCGCACAGAGATCCGCCCGGCCGGTTTCCGTCCACCTGTGCACGTGTTTAAAGACATGATGGTTGAATATCTGGCATTTGATTTTGATGGAAATGTTGCCATATGTCAGATCAACATTACTGTCCCCGACGACATTCCTCCTTCAGTCACCTGCCCACAGAGTTATGTGATAGAGCTGGTTGAGGAACAAGAAAATTACCGCGTCAACTTCAACTCCTCCATCACACTGTCCAGCGTAAATGTAAGTGACAACAGTGGACAGTACCAGCTGAGAGTGATGCCTGAGGTTGCTCTCATCAGAGTTGGAGGTTATGTGAATGTCAGTGTTATTGCCACAGACCCGCCTGGCAACACAGCCACTTGTAACTTCCAAGTTGCTGTTCAGGCAACAGCTTGTGTCGACTGGGAACTAAAGGCACCAGCAAATGGTAGATTAAACTGTATACCTGGTGAAGGTAAAAATCGTGAATGTTCAGCTACATGTAATGCAGGATACAGATTCACAGACAACATGCCATCCAAGGCCTTCACTTGTACCCCAGAGTTGTCTTGGCAACCCAGCCGAGCTGTACCTGACTGTGTAAGTGAGGACACCCAGCAGGCCAGCTATGACGTGGTGGCCACTGTCATGTACCGTGCCAATGGTGCAGTACAGTCCACCTGCCTCGACCAGTACAAGAGTCTCCTACAGCAGTACTATGAGAGTCTCAATGGTGTACTGTCTAGTCGCTGCTCTGCTGCCATCAATGTAGCTATTGATGTGATGTTCCATGACACCAGACTTGCTCTTACAGAAGAGAATGTGGTGGAAGTCCACTATGTAGTTCGTCTTAATCCTGAAGTTAAGCAAAAGATGCTTTATGGTCACTGTGGCTCTACACTGTCACTCATCTTTGACCTGAGTGTGCCCTCAACCTCAGCTGTGATTGAGCCCATCCTCGACCTGTCTTCTGCTGGCAACTCGTGTCCACCCATGAGAGCCCTTGGCTCTAATGTTACACGAGGATTCACTTGTAACATCGGTGAAGTTCTCAACACAGTGACAGCTGAAGTCCCCCGTTGTCTTCACTGCCCTGCCGGCACCTTTGCTCCTCAGGATGAGAAGACTTGTTCTCCATGTATGAAGGGATACTATCAGGATCAGAGTCGCCAAGGTGCGTGCAAGCGTTGCCCACCCGGTACATACACCAGGAATGAGGGCAGCAAGTCCACCTTGGACTGTGTTCCTGTCTGTGGCTATGGTACTTACTCCCCAACAGGTTTAGTGCCCTGCCTCAACTGCCCACACAATTCTTACACAGAAGGTCCTCCTATTGATGGCTTCAAGGAATGTGAAGCATGTCCTCCACAGACTTTTACCTATGTGGCTGCCACATCCTCTCAGCAGATGTGTCGCAGGAAGTGCAGGCCAGGAAGTTACTCTGACACAGGTCTTGAGCCATGTGCACCTTGCCCATTCAACTTCTATCAGCCCCTTGAAGGTCGCAGTACTTGTTTTGAGTGTGCAACAGGTAATCGTACACTAGATACAGGATCACAAACTGAGGAGGAGTGTCTAGCTGTGATATGCACTCCAGGAATTTGTCAAAATGGAGGTCTTTGTCTAGCACGTCAGCACCAAGTGCAGTGCTACTGCCCAGCTGGCTTCACTGGTAGGTTCTGTGATGTTGATATTAATGAATGTGCCTCAGAACCCTGCTATAATACTGGGACTTGTATTGACCTGCCACAAGGATATCGCTGTGAATGTTCTGAAGGCTACAGTGGATTTCAGTGCCAAGATGAAGTCAGTGAGTGTGTGGAAGGTACTTGCCCTGACCAAGCGATGTGTAAAGATGACCCGGGGAAGAATACTTACGAATGTCTGTGTCGCTCTGGCTACACTGGTCCAGGCTGTAACGTCACTGTTGATCCCTGCACAGAGAAAGGTAACCCATGTTCCAATGAGGCTGTTTGTGTACCACTGGAACAAGGTCGCTTCCGCTGTGAGTGTTTGCCAGGCTGGGAAGGACGTCTTTGTGAAGTGAATATAGATGATTGTGCTGACAAGCCTTGTCTATTGGGAGCAAACTGCACAGACCTCACCCATGATTTCAGTTGTGATTGTCCAAATGGCTTCACAGGAAAACGTTGCCACATCAAGGTTGACCTCTGCCAGTCTTCTCCATGTGCCAATGGCATCTGTAGAGATCGATTCTTTTATCATGAGTGTATCTGTCATCCAGGCTGGTCAGGTGAAAGCTGTGAAGTAAATATTAATGATTGTTCCCCAAATCCTTGTGAGAATGGTGGTCAGTGTGTTGACAAAGTTAATGGCTTCCACTGTGAATGTGACACTGGCTACATTGGAAAAACTTGTCAACATACAATTGATGACTGTGTCTCAGAACCTTGTCAGAATGGTGGCACTTGTGTTGACAAGTTGGATGGTTTTATGTGTGAGTGCAGGCCTGGCTTTCTGGGCTTGCAGTGTGAGGCATCCATTGATGAATGCATCAGTAATCCCTGCAATCCTGTTGGTACTAAAAAATGTCTGGATCTTGACAACATGTTCAAATGCCAATGCCATGCTGGCTATGATGGTGAGTTTTGTGAAAATAACATTAATGAATGTGCCCAAAACCCATGCCATAATGAGGGTTTGTGTACTGATGGTGTTGCAGACTTCTCATGCACCTGCAGACCAGGATGGACTGGCAAACACTGTGAAAAAGATATTGGTGGTTGTGACTCTGAACCTTGCCTCAACAAAGCTGAATGCATTAATCTCTTTGAAGACTATTTCTGTGTTTGCCCATCTGGAACAGATGGGAAGAAGTGTCAGGTCACTCCTGAACGATGTGTTGGCAATCCTTGTATGAACGGCGCCTCCTGCCAGGACTATGGCTCCGGCCTTAACTGTACCTGCTCTGAAGACTTCACCGGCATTGGATGTCAGTTTGAGTTTGATGCCTGTGAGGCTGGCCTATGTAAGAATGGCGCCACCTGTGTTGACCGAGGCGCTGGCTACGAGTGTGTGTGCCCTCCTGGATATGCTGGCAGACACTGTGACGAGGACATTATCAACTGCACACCAACGTCTTGCCCACCAGGTGCAACGTGCATTGATCTGACTAATGATTTCTACTGCAAGTGTCCATTCAACCTTACTGGCGAGGACTGCAGGAAGGGTAAGTGTTAGAACTTATTTTTAACCTTAAACTTCATTTACATGGTAATTCCTCTTTTGTAAGTTAAACAGCTTAATAAACAGAAGCTATGTGCTGCTGACAACTTGTTCTGTTTCTTGTCTCTATGTACTGTAGTAGGTAGGTACAGTACTGCAGTTGAAATATACAGTAATGTACAGTACAGTATTTTGTAAACAAGTTGTCTTTTATATTTATGCATCTCTTTGTGTTGGTGATGAGCAAATTGTCAGTCTTGGGTAGTATTATGCTGTGTTGACAAACTGCACATCTTTCAACAGTGATCAATATCGACTATGAGTTGTACATCAACGACGAGAGCAAAGCATCGAGCGCTTCCTTGGCAACACCCTTCATGCTGGGTGACTCCACGTCCTTCACTCTGGCACTCTGGGTACAGTTTGCCGTCCCTGATGATCTTGGCACCATCTTTACGCTCTATTCAGTCTCGTGAGTTTCTTATATTACTTTTTATATGTACAGTACAGGAATAACAGCTTCATGTATTACAGTATTTTAATTCAATGTTTGTGGTAAGAGGATTATTAGCTAATCTTTTTATGGAACAGTAAAGTAATAATTCAAATTAAATACTGTACAATTAACTACTAACGTCCATTTGCCTCTCTCCCTGAACCCTGAGATTCAGACTCGTGAATCCAAAGCATTTATAGACAGAATAAACTATCAGTCTACTGCTTCAGGTTCATGAGTCTTTATCTCATGGTTCGTGGTACAGGCGAACGAACTTTAGTAGTTGACTGTACATAAATTATATTATTCTATTTACATATTTTTTGTGTAGTTTTATGTACGATAGATTGTATAATTATTGCAAATACAGTAGAGTAGAGTATAGTGAACCCATCTAAGTTCATTTTGTTCAGAATGGAGTAAAGGTTTGATGTTAAAAATAATTGTATTGATGTAATGGTCTCAACAGGAGCCCTTATGTGCCATCTGACAAGAGAGTGATGCTCCAAGCCACCAACGCAGGTATTGCTATTGAGTTCTTCAAAGACCTGAAGGAGTTTGTTACCTACCGTCCCAACATCCCAGTTAACGACGGCCAGTGGCATCACGTGGCACTCGTGTGGGACGGCATCACTGGCATGCTCACCCTCACTACTGATGCTGTGGTCGTCGCTCAGGTGGAAGGCTTTGCCGAGGGACGCCAGCTGCCCATGTAGTATGTATATCAGGCATAAGGTGGTTGTTATTATAATGCACTTCATCATCTCAGGTTTGCAAGTGTGTATTCTAGATTAGTAGTATATACTGTAGACTAGTCATCAAACATCTCTCTGGTAATGAGATTGTTCATCATTATCAGAGTATCTGCCACACAAACATGATGAATTAAAGAATGAAATTAAAGGTTTATTTTACAACGATTATAAATGGATCTTGCATCATTAATAATGATATTTATTCAGGAAAATTGTCACACATACATTTACAATTGGCTTGGCATGTATATAGACAATACAGCTATACAGTTCAGCATGTGTATAGGCAAAGCAGGTATATGATGTACAGTACTGTACATAGACCAAATGTGTACAACATTAATAAAAATTATGGCAGTTTCACCATTATAGCTGACAAAACCAACAAATGCTTACATTAATGACCCTTTTTAAGATTAGAAAATGTGCCTAGTATTTCTGAAATTTATACTGTACATAATATTATTAACAAATATTTCCTTAGTGCCTGGTTGACCCTTGGTTCAGTTGAGTCTGAATTTTCCGGCTACACCCATGAACGAGGCTTCCACGGCCGTGTTGCTCGCCTCAATGCTTGGAACCGTCCTCTTGACTTCCGCACAGAGATCCCCAAGATGGTGAGGAACATTTACTCATATCTGGTCTTCACGGAGTATTTAAGATATTATTGAAAGCTTCTGGTAACACTGTACTTGAGACTCGGGTTATTATTATTTATTCTACTAATTCTTTACATCATTTTAGCTCAACGTGTCATTATATCTCTCCGTAGGTTCGGTCATGCATGAACTCTCCGGTTATGTTTGATGGCCTGCTGCTACGCTGGACAGGTTATGACATGGTGAGCGGTAACGTGGAGCGTATCGGGCCGTCCACCTGTGGCCAGTACGTGTGTCCTCCCGGCTACTCCGGCGACTGTTCCGTACTGGAGAGAGACAAGACTCCTCCCCGCGTTGATCACTGCCCCGGAGACATTTGGGTCATCACTCGTAATGGCTCCGCTGTGGTTGACTGGGACGAGCCTGTATTTTCTGATAATATCGGTATTGAACAGGTCATCGACAAGTCCGGCTACTCTCCAGGACAAGTAAGTGTGAGATATACATGAAACACGTATAACATGGGAAGACGTACAGGCTTTGTCGCTTCACTTCCACACTCGCATTTTAGAAACAGTACAGGGAAAATATTACGGGTTTATTTTACAATTAGTAAAGCAATCAGTATTATACACAACTATTGTTATGAATTTTGTTTCATCAGGCCTTTACCTGGGGTACCTACCATGTTGCCAGCGTAGCCTATGATGCTGCAGGCAACTCGGCCACCTGCTCCTTCAAGGTTTACGTCCTAGAGGAGTTCTGTCCTAAACTGGATGATCCTGTAGGAGGAGTCCAGCGCTGCTCTGACTGGGGTCCTGGTGGCCGCTTCAAGGTTTGCAAAATTGAGTGCAACGATGGTCTCAAGTTCTCCACCAAGGTAAGAAATAAAAAAAAAAAACATTGGAATTTAGATTTGAGTGATAATCGCCATGGTGTCTTAATGAAAGATCCATCAATGGTGTTAGTACAGAAAATTTGTTGAGTCATATTAAGTAAGATGTTTTGACTGCTATATTGAAAACCTCAAGACATTTAAAAGGTGAAAATATAAATATACGAGTAGATAAAACCGTATTTGGCTCTCACAGCATGACATTTTTTATCGATAATGCTCGGTATTTATACACACTTTAAACACACTCACGCGGATATTACTTGCCAGATACCCGACTTCTACACGTGTGGTGCTGAAGGTTTCTGGAGGCCCACCCACGATCCCTTCTACCCACTGGTGTACCCTGCCTGCTCCCCTGCCTCCCCTGCCCAGAGGGTCTTCAACATCAACATGCAGTTCCCATCCTCTGTTATCTGTAATGCAGCTGGTCAGAATGTGCTCAGCGAAAGAATAAGGATTGTGAGTTTTGCAATGACATCATTCATTATCTTTGCTGTAAAAACATGATAGGAATGCATAATTTTTTTTTAGCTTATATGAAAAATATTAGTCTCATAAGAATCAGGACCACCTACTCTACCTTATTTAGCTGGGCCTAAAGTAAGGTTGACATGAAGTTAGATAGATGTACAGTACAGAGTTATATAGAGAGACTTGAGTTACATGGTGTGTCTGTCTCCTACACTCAGGCGCTGAACAAGCTCAACTCACAGTGGAATTTCTGTACCGACACTGCCGCCTCTACGGGACAGTGCAACGGTCTAGATGTAGTTGTTGACTGCTCTCGTAGAAACCGTCTAGCTCGTGATACTGCGGGTTTGAGGGCCGAACGTCAGGCTGGGGATGAAACTGACGACGTGTATGAAGTGAAGATCACCTTCCCCTCTGTAAAGTGAGTGTTTGATCTTTGTGCTTCTGTAACTTTTAATTACCTGGTCATTGCCTTATTGTGTTATACTCCAGGAGTACAGTAGTAATAAAAGAAAATAATAGCTCTACTTTCCTCAAAGAAGTGAATTGAACACAACTTATATAGAGAAGTGACTGTTAATGTCCAAGATCTTGTCACCAGACAGGTCACATTATTCATCAAGTGGTTGCATGGTCTCATGATGTTTTGCATGATTTGTGTGTGATTGTATATTAACAGGATTGGCTTTGTAGGTGATTAATGTGTGTGTTCACCTCTATGAATGACAAAAGTTGTATTACACTATGCAGTTATGATGACAGTGATTGGTTCTGGAAGACCCATTTTATACCCGAGTCAGGTAAAGGAGACTTGTGTTTTCATCCATTGAGTCTACAGGTTGTAACTGAAGCTGCTAAGGTGGAGGTGAGTGAGTTTTGATGGTACAGCAACTGACAGATGCAGGCAGTTCCTTGTCCATCACTGTCCCGTACCAAATTTCCAGCACCAGGCCTCACCTTATAAAACCTAAGAGAGGAGGGAGGGGCCCCAGAACTCTTCTATAAAATGAGATTCCCAGGATCACTTGATATATAGTCTGCTGTTGGTTCCAGGAGGCCCATGTTTCTAAGGCCAACTAAATAAAGGACAGTGGTGCTACTGAACACCTGCACCTCACACTGGGGATAAGAAAAAGCTACCTCAACAACATAGTTTTCCTGCACTATATCCTGGTCCAGGCACCACTTAGTGATGAGGTGGACCTTTTGAGTTGTTAGTTTTGTAAACCAATCAAAACCTTAATGTTCTCATTAAGACAATCCAGCCCCTTCCAGTTAAACAACAACCCCCTGAAGGGTTTTGTCAAGAAATGTAGACCAAAAAAACACCCACTGAATAGCTAATAATGTATTAAGGCTCTTTACTCCCAGAGGAAAACTCAAGTCAGCCTGTAACCAACATCCTTAACTGGGATTTGTATACTGTAACCCTTTGTTGGCCTCGAGCTGGGTATTCTCAGCTGGACTAAATGCTTGTTGCTGGACGATGAAGGACAAGGAGAGGTGTGTGTGATCGCGCTACTGTAGCACCAGGACTCAGTTGCTCAGCTCAACCTTAAGTGGTAAACCTCCACCTCCCAGTACTATACCTTCTCCAAGGCTGGCGATGCAATGGAAGACAAGTTCAGTACATAATAATCTTTTTAATTTATGCCACATCAATGTCAAGGGTTAGCTTGGACTTCAACCCTTAGACTTGATGGGAGAAATGATCTGTCACCTTTGACCAATGACTGGCTGTAATAATGGTTGATGGCAGGTTGTTTGGGATATGATCAACTAACTGAAACTGTATTATAGTACAAGAATGATTCTATAGGAAATTACACACACATATTTAAAGTCAGGTACCTAATATTGAATTTAATATACAAGATAAAATACAGGTGAGGAAGGTGGTGAAGGGGAGGTTGGCTGTGAGGTTGAGGAAAGGTATTTTTTTTTTTTTTCTTGTAAATATTAATGGGAGAGTTGATGATATAATGGGTAGTAATGTGTTACATCCATATAATTTTGCAGTAAATCCTTATTAGTATAAAGTTCCAAGTGACAGAACATCATCTCGTAAACAGAGGTGAAAATACACAAGCTTCCCCCAACATCAACTCTCAAAACCTGTGTCTGAGTATCATAAGAATATCAGTAGTTACCATCTGTTAATGTGTAAGAAAAATAACACCTTGTTGAAGTGAATGAAGTCTGTACAGTATAAGGTTGTAAACAGAAGAGGGAGGGCAGAAAAAATCAAGAACAGACAGGTACAGTAAAAGTAGAATGAAGAAAATATAAAAGGACAGTGTGGAGTACGAGTCATGTTGAATATCACTGAGATGGTCTACAATGTTTATATTAGCAGATAGAGAGTTGTGGCCATGAGGACAGTCACAGTACTGATGATGCCGACAAATCCAGCCTAGTGTTTATTGTTAATGTCTGATTTTAAATATTATGTACGGTAGTATATGTCATCAGTATGCTTGAAAAAACAGTTGTTATTGTTACTATTTTTATAAGAATTTACTGTACTGGTAAATAAATGATTATGCAGTAATTTGCATAATGTTACAAATGTTAATTGCTGTTGAGGTATACTGATGTACATTATGATAATTAAAGTGTAAAGTTCACCAGCTTTGTGTACTTGATATTAGTAATTTGCAGTTAAGGTCAAAATGTTAAGGACAGCTTGAAGATCTTAGAACTAAATATCAGTTTGTGCTTCTATTGTTATATTAACATGTGCTTGAGACTTAATTGTTCCTAAAGCAACAGCAAGATGTTTTTCTCATAAAAAAAAACACATAATTCAATATAAAAATAATCAAAACACTACAGGAAAGTAAAGTAGATTAGTTTTAATAGTAAAATGACACTGGAAGAATTCTCTGGCCTATTATTGTTTGGCCATGAGAACTCAACATTGACTATCTACACCTAATGAAGCTCCTCCCCCAGCGACTCCCGGTGGAAGAGGGACACAGATCAGACTTACCAGTATAACCTGAAAGTCTCATTCCCTGCCAAGAAGTAAGATTATTGTGAATGTCATCACTGATAACGACCCATCATTAACTACTATATAGTAATATCCATTAATACCTGGAAATACTAAACTCACTCTCCACTATTTACCACAGAAACTTTCACAAGTTTTAAAACATGTATCTGGAGCTTTCCGGTGCCACACGCTTTGCTTCTACATTGGTTGCTAGATTCAGGCCATAAATTAATTTTACAAGAAAACAGAAGCTTAACACTGTAGGTTGTTTTTAAGGCTTTTTTTTTGTGGGAAGGGACTTCACCAAAAACTGTTACTCTAGGGTGTACAATATAATGGCCAAGCTTGACATCTAGTGTTGGTGTGTGGTTAGTACTGTAAACTGTATTGTGCTTCCTTAAAGGGTTGATGGACACTGTACCAGGTGTTGTAGTGTCTTAGTGTTAAACAGGTGATATAAAATGGTAACAGGTGTTATTAGTAATGGTGTACAGTTAAATGCAGTATGAATATTTATTAATCTTTAAATATGCTTTATAAAGAAACCATCTGCTATGAATAGTTTCTTTAATTTTTAAATAATGATTTATGCTTATACAGGTACTTTAAATATTTCTACTTTAAATATTTTTAAACACTTTCTTAAACATTTCCCTAAATTTTTTAGTTTGTAAAAACATTTGAAAGCTACAAAATTACTGTGAAAACATCACACTGTACAGGTATTTAGGAATTGTATATGTAGATGCAGTGTTCTAACTACATTTCATAATATTTCCTCAGTAATTTCATCAGTTTTCATATATTTTGTTTTTTTTACATCAAGATAATTTAGCAGCTTCGGTTTTCTAAGCAGCAACTGCTGCCCTTGTGTAACAGCCAAATCATCATGTAGAATTACTGTATTCAGTAAATGTTCCAAGTGGTCCTGGTGTCACCTACACCTGAAGGTGCCTGGTGTCCACATGAGGTGGCCACTACAAGAGGAAAGTCTCCACTGGGAACACAAGATATAGATAGATAGACTGTTGTAGTTTCATAGATTTCTTAAGCATATTTCCCTTAATGCACTTATCTTCTTCTAATAAACATATTAGAACAGAAACCAAATACTGTATCTTTCTGTCTATGGCATTTGTACAAATTAATATTTTTGCTTATTCACAACAGTTGATGTCATATTGTGGTACAGTATATTAGTCACACAAACTCTATGGTCATTAGCCCAACCAAAGTAACATACATCTGAACAACACAACACAGCTGGAGCTGAACTTGTGTATAAAAGTTCTCTGAACGTTACTGACCTCGTTACTTAGATGGCAATTGTGGGTGCTGCCAACACTACCACGAATGGTTATAAATCCTTTGAAGTTGACCTGCCACTATAGATTCAAATGATTTTGTCATTCACGGCACTGTTTGTAATGCCTGCACGTGCCATGTGGGTAGCAAGGTTACAGAATCCTGAATGGGTAGTAGTGTTGTTTGTATAGTATGTGTTTTGTAACTTGATTCTATGTTACAAATATTATATTAAACATTGCAAGTAACCTTGTCTGCTGGAGAAGAACTAATAAAACACAAATTTATATGTAACCACATTCAGTTTTAGACTCAACCATTGTAATCTTGCAAAAATGTTGCCAGAGTTCTGTTTAAATAAAGTATCTGTATGTTGTTATGCTGTAGCCAACACGCAGCCAGTGGTCAGTGCTTGCCACATCGACTATGTTTTATTACCAGTACAGTAAGTGTATTTTAGGGTTGTGATTCATGCAAATGCCATATACTCTTCCTTGTTCCTATATCTGATATATTGTAGTTATTTTTACATCAGCACTGAATTACACTTTGAATTTCTCATACAGAATTACAGTGCATACAAGTTTGTTTCTCTAATATACCCCTTCATTAAGCAGATATATTTTTTCAAGTATTCTTTGAGATATATAAAAGCACTTGACACATTTATATACGATTCATGATGACAATTACACACACACACACACACACTTTCATTACATTGCAAAGACTGATGACTGAATTTTCCAACAGTGATCCTGTGCAGAACAGTAACTCAGATTTGGAATCCACTGTTCGACGCCTGATAGAAGGAATTATCCTTGAGCAGGATCAGTTTGATGTTCGTGATGCTCTTCCCAATGTTGTTCCAGATCCCTCCTCACTGGATCTCAACTCTGAATATTCCTGTCCTGTTGGCAAGGTCTGTCTCTCATTCTTATATTTTTATCAATCATAGAGGAAAAAAAAAAAATATATATATATATATATATATATATATATATATATATATATACACACAGTGAACCCTCACTTTACGCGGTCAATTGAACCCACGGCGGCCCGCATAAAGTGAACAACATAACATATGGGATTAATTGAAATAAAGACCGGGCCAACCCCCAAACTCCACTTTTTCAGACAATACCTACGTTGTAGTAAAAATAACTTCTTAATTTTATGATGGTATGCACACACAATTGATAATTAAGAGAAATATCAATAATATTAGGTTTTTTAACACTTAATTCGTAGAAAAGATGGCTGGGCACACGGGGATGGGGGGTTGGTTCCGAGGCAGAGGGCAGATTATTGGCCCCCACCTGTATCACTTGTATCACTATCCACCACAGAGGCTTGCAGGGCCTCTTTGTCAAACCCCTCAAAGTCCATATCCTCACTATCCTTATCACTATCACTGACTTGGGCCGGCTGTGGTGGGTGAAGAACTCGGTAATGTTTTGATGACTGGGCGACCTTGTGCACACCCTGCTCGCACCGCTGTCCGCGTAAAAGGGTACACACACTGCGGAAAGTGAGCATTCCGTGTTCGGCAGGGTACCGCGTAAACGTGGAAACGCGTAAAGCGAGGGTTGACTGTGTATATATATATATAGTTCTTGTGTATTCATGTAACTAATATTCCTTTATCAGCATCAGACTCAACAGTGGCAAGATGCTAGTACTGTATTGTATTGGTGTTAACAATGAGGGATCAAGTTCAGATACAGTACAAGGGGTCCCCAACTTGTGAATGCCCGCTGATACGAACAGGGTTAAACTTGAAATTTACAGTATTTTATTTACCTGATGACCAATTTTTTACTTTCATATAGTACTGTATTTTGTCATTCTGTTTCTTCTTTCCTCCAAAACTAAGTGATTTTAGATGTATATAGGGACAGGCTATGTTATAGTGGGATTTTAAACATTGTTCTGTAAGTACGGATGCACATAGCACATGTTCTGTTTTACGTACAAATCCAACTTAAGAACGTAACCCGTGGACCTCCTGTACAATACAGTGCAGTACTAGGATATATTTAAGTTGTGCAAAAATAATTAAAATCTGATTTGTTGTTCTGTTAATACAATACAACCAGCCAGAAAGAACATAGCACATACATTATATACCTTATAAAGAGAAGGTGAGAACAGTTTGTGCTAAATTTTTAATACTTTTCTAGGTTGTGGTTGACAGTGCATGTGTAGACTGTGCAACAGGAACTTATTATGACCTTGAAAGCAAATCATGCAAGCTCTGTGAGTCTGGCACATACCAGAATGAAATGGGTCAGGTTGCCTGTAAGCCATGTCCTCAGCGTGCCGGTCGTCAGGGAGTCACCAAAACCTCAGGGTCACGAGCAGTGGAAGACTGCCAGGAACGATGTGCTGCTGGGAGATTCTTTGATGAGACAATAGGCATCTGTCAGTCTTGTGGCTATGGATCTTATCAGTCTGAAGAGGGTAAATTTTCATGCAAGAGGTGTGACCGAGGCCTCACTACACGCTCGAAAGAAGCAGATTCACCATCTGCATGCCGTGAAGAGTGCGAGTCGGGTCTCCAGCTAGGTATGACAGGTCCGTGTGAACCTTGTGCACGTGGAACCTACCGTACAAAGGGCATCCATGCTGCATGTATTCGCTGTCCACAAGGCCGCACAACTCTAGGACCTGGTGCGTCTTCAGTAGAAGAATGCTCACTGCCAATATGTATTGCTGGAACATTCCTTTCCAACTCCAACTCATTGTATGAATGCTTAACATGCCCTAAGGGTACCTACCAGCCAGAAGCACTCCAGACATCTTGTATAGGATGCCCACAAGATACCTCTACTCATGGCGTTGGTGCTACCTCCGTTGACGAGTGCTCGAACCCTTGTGAAGTACACGGAGAACAGATGTTATGTGACCCCAATGCTCTCTGTCTGTTTATCTCTGAAACAAATGAATTTGAATGTCAGTGCAAACCTGGATTTAATGGTTCTGGAGAACACTGTTCCGGTGAGTAGACTCGGTTTCATTTCTACGGTATGTACCATTGGAAGCTTATCACTGGTGAAAATGTTATGAGTTATATGGGTTAGTATATCATGAAATTCGAAATAATTTACCTGTATATGCATCAGTATTAGTAGAATTAACATCACTGGTAATAATATTGACAATATAATCATAGTAACTTATAATTCTAGTAAAGAAATAATATTTGTATATTAATGATATGTCGTTTGTCCACTCAGACAAGTGCGACAACTTCTGCGAGAACAATGGTGTGTGTAAGAAGGAAAACGATGGTGAACCATTCTGTACCTGCTCTGGATCCTTCACTGGCAGTAAATGCCAGGTAAGTCTATGTCACTTTTGGTTTATATACCATGAGTAATGTACAGTATAAAGTATTTTGATTATTGTAATGGGATTTCTTGATAACTTTGACCTCTGTTGAAAGTCAGAGATTTTTTTTATGAATTATAGTAAATAATGATGTGCAGGTATTGACATTTCCCCTTAAAATTTAGTAATTGAAATAGAGTACTGTACGCAAAACTGTACTTACATATTTTTATTTTTCATCTCTCCCCACAGGTTAAGAGTGACTTCACATATATTGCTGGAGGCATTGCTGGTGCTGTTGTATTCCTCATCCTCATCGTCCTGCTAGTATGGATGATCTGTATCCGTGCCACCAGGAGACGCGAGCCCAAGAAGGGCTTCCCCAATCAGCCATCAGTTGATCCTAATGGGTCACAGGTGAGAGAATGATTACTTTGTAAATAAACATGCAGCTCTTAATAAAGGTGGAAGGAGTGCCTGAGTAACGAGGGGTTTCTGGACACCTAAATCAGAGTAATCACAAAGTTTATGTAGGATGTTGTTTATTAAAAGAGCATGAGGCGATTAAATAAATTTTTATAGCAGTACCGTATGTTTTTCAGCTTCACACCATTCAGAATATTTTTGCCAGAAATGTTACAATGCATATATTACTATTTTGCAACTCTTCAGGCTGCCATTGAATTAATCTCCCGCCATATTGGGTTGGAATGAAGTGCAGGAAATTTCAAATGTGAAAGAATGCATGCAGACACATGTATGTATTATCATTGCATATAGGGTTAAAAGCATCAGAATTACTATGTGAAAACTATTGAAAATGTTTCAAGAACCAAATCACACACACACACTTTTCCTTCGCAGGTTAACTTCTACTATGGAGCTCCCGCCCCATATGCTGAGAGCATCGCACCGTCCCATCATTCAACTTACGCTCATTATTATGATGATGAAGAAGATGCCTGGGAGATGCCAAACTTCTACAACGAGACTTATATGAAGAGTACGTCCTGAGCCCATCCCACACCGATTCCACATGCTTTAAATTAATCCACAGCATCATCTAAGAAACATTAAACTCATACTTAAGCTTTATCATTGCACTTCAGCACTTGACAAATTCCAGAATATGAGCCCTTCTTAATGTATGGCTTATCCTGTAATGCTCTATAGTACATTCAGTCATTAATAGTATAGACAAACTTAACTTATTACCAGTATTGTACAACTGAGCATAGCAAGTAAATGATAATGCAACATTGAAATGTAATTGTGCTTTACTTTAATACTCGTCTTAAAAAAGATAAGTGCTTTGTGAGGTTAATAGGAATATAATACACTCTACATTCTATTAACTATATAGCCATAGTAAGTATGAACATTAACTAACCTAACCTCCCCAAACCAGCCGGGTTCCAGAACGGAGCAGGAAATAGCCTGGCTCGGTCTAACGCTTCCATCTACGGGAACAAGGAGGACCTGTATGACCGCCTCCGCAAGCACGCTTACCAAGGCAAGAAAGGTGAGGATGATTGAGAACCCGATGCTTCTGTAGGGTATGAAGTCAAGTATGTGCATGGATGTGACTGGAAAATATATTGAAAAAGTTGGCTGAAATACCAGCATGAACATGTACAGAAAACTGAACACTGAATACCAAGCATGGAAAAAAAAGCACATTGCAAAACTTCTATTTTATAAAAGATATAATACTCAAGAGAAGGAGCTGCATGACAGCTTCCGTGTAAGTCTGAGAAAAAATGCATGAACTTGTGTATTATAAGTATTAAATAATATGCATGTGTCAAAGATGCTTTAGATTGTTTATGATAATTTATACTGTAGTATATCTAGTTTTTTATTATGTACTGTAACTGCCTTAATATAAAAAGAAGACTGACTAAAAGCTTAACATGTGACAGGAATATTCGACACTACCATAACTGTACTAGGACACTGAGATACGCACTTAGTGTTCCTTGCCTGATGTGTACAGTTTGACATAAAACTGACAGTCTCAGGAGTCTTTTTTTTCTGGAACTAAGAGCAACCGAGTTATCTCTTACTCTGCCATATTCAGTCTTGAAAAAAAAAATTTGTCACACGGGTGTTGGTATCATTGTAAAGGATAGAATATGCTTCTTTATTTCATATGAATTAAAGGATTGCATTCTGTGCCTCAGCTGCCAATATCAATATTCATCTGTGGTTTCATATCTTGTCCAGTGTAATGTTAATAATGTACCACCAAGTCACAAACCAAACTGCATCGTGGCCTTCTGACCAGACAACAGACAAATGCCATAATTTTGTTCTGCATGAATAGACAGTTTCTGACAGCATGATCCTTTATACTGTAGATTCATTTGCATGAAATTATTTTTCTTTGCAAATTTTATTTTATGGAATGTGAATGTCTCATTTATTGTGGCATCAGCTGTATGGCTTCCAAATTAATGCATGCATTATAAATGTTAAAATAAGAAATACATTTTCATGTTGTTATTTGGCCTTCATGATTAACAAGTTAATTAATGCATGAAGAAATTGAAAAATAGGATTCAACGAGAAATATGATGTTGATGGTCCTTTTTTAATATTCATCTTATTTTTATTCCCTAATAATAAAAGTACAGTAATTAAATATAGTGTTATGTGGTTACTGGAGTTTATATTCTTGAAAATTTTATCACAAACGTCCTGTGGTTATTGTCAATGGTTTTGGGGATCTTAAGAGTTTCAGGGTATGGACCTAAAACTTTCCTGGTAGTTATTCAGAATCTAATTTCACAGTGAAATAACTGAACTTGGTGTTTTTTGTTCTGTGAAAAAAAGGGGAATACTGTACAGGAACTTCAATAGGTTTCTTAATCATAATAATTCTAATTCTTCATGTTCCATTTTGATTTTTTCCTCTACAGATAAAGATGAGACAGGTGACAGTGATGATCAAGCCCATTGATTGGCTAGATAGTTTATGATGTCATGATCCGACATTCACATTCATTAATTGGTTAGCTTTTTGTCATCCTTATACTTGATGTGTCTAGTGAGATAGAAAACAAATTTTGTTTATAGGTGTGCTTCCAATGGTTGGTTGGCTTTGAAATATGGCATTATCTCATTATTACATATCACCAACCGGTAGGAGTGTCTTGAATGGTGCCTGTCCTTGAACGTGGCTCGACCTGACCACGGTTAGACAGTGGCTAATGTGTGGTAATGTACTAGAATATTCACACCTGGGCCCCTGGCTAACCCAACACAGTGTCCTCTTATATCCATCAAAAGGACGTAACTCATTTGTAAAGACAGAACTGATTTGCAAGTCATGAGATATGTATTATAATCCTCAAAGTTTTAATTGCAACACTGGAATGTAAAGTCACAGCACACACCTTTCATGTTTGAAAATAAGAATAAGAAAAGGGTGAGCGTGTCTTGTCATTCATCTGTGTTACACCATTATTTGTAGTTAATATTCTTGAACTCAGGTGTGAGATTAGTTGGGTCTTAATTGTTTGTGTGTGAGTTCTTTGTAGTAGGTTGTTGTACGTGTGTGAGACAATGTGGCCTTTTTGTGCTTGGGAATCTTTATTGTATATTCATTTTTCAATTGCTCGGGAAATTTCAAATAATCTTTGCAGTTTAAATTTTTTTATCCATTCATTATTTATTTATTAACTAGTTGACAGTTTAAAGACCACTTGTGTGTATATATGAATGATTAAGACATGTTGCGTGTGTGTTGATGTATGGTTTCATGAATAAATGATATCTGAGTTCTTAGCTGTACCAATATACAGTTTTGAAATATTGTTAAGTTTTGGGGAATGCAATAGAATTTTTATTTTTTATTTTTTACTTTAATGTAATGTGTGAATGGGAAAACATTCCAAATTATGCCATTCAGTTTCTGTGTATACAAACTACACTATTGTTGTAAAAACTGTTCTATAAGGACATTCTCTCTGTCCTGCTCAAGATTGTGAATAAACTTGAATTTATGTCAAATATTTGTATACTGTAATATTAACAAATATAAGCTGTAAGTCTTACAACATACATGAATAAATTGAAATATGTAAAAAAAAAAAATGTTTGTTTTATGGCTGTTCCTTTTAATTTTAGGCTTCATAAATTGTATCTTAAAGATTAAGTTCCATGCCTGTATTAGATAACAATACTCCCAAGATGAAGACTGTAAGGTAATAGAGTTATCGTGGACAAGTCTTCATTAAGGCAATACAGTATACACTGTACTGTATAATAATGCATTAACACACTATAATAGTATTTATTGTTTTATTCAAGTAAAAATCAATCAATAATGTATTAGTGAAAAAGAACCGACGATAAAGTCCGTCACCATCTTTGTTGTTTACATCCTCTTAGTCAATCGGCGATCATCTCAAAGTGTATATAGTAGCCCGCCAAGATTCATGTCCGTTGTATCATGGTAGGTCTCTTCATATTTTTGCTACCGGTGTTGACATGAGTTTTGTGAACATTTTATGCCCATTATGTCTGGGAAACATCCTACAAGTGACTGTTGGTAAACCAGTCAGGGTGCCCTGGAAAGACATTACAAAGACTGAATGTGAAAAGGACCGAGGTGTGTATGTTGACAATGAGTTGAAGTTCTCGGGCCATTGCGAGAAGGTGAATCAGACAACTACATTATTAGGTCTTGTAAGAAGGTCGTTTAGATATCTAGATGGTCTGTCCCCGGTAACAATCTTCAAGAGTGAGGTACTTCCCCAACTGGAGTATTGTCACCCCGTCTGGTCCCCGAGATATGCTAGGGACTGTCAGTTGATTGAAAATGTCCAAAGGAGGGCCACCAGACTGGTACCTGCACTGTGGCACCTCAGCTACCCTGAGAGATTGGAGCACTTGAAATTGCCTAGCTTATACTACAGATGGGCAAGGGGGTACCTAATTGAAGTGTATAAACATCTCAAAGGGATCAACACACTGACTCTCTCGGCTCTCTCTGACCATCACCACGACCTCATCTGCAAATTTGATGAGAAGCTTCTGCACCATCCTCGACACCGTCTCCTACTACCACCCGAGATCCCTCGTCCGCAAATTGCTGTTCGACACCACAACCGCATCCAGCCCACACGAGCATGTACTGATCGCTATAAGAACAGCCCAGTCCCAACCATTGTAAAAATTATCAACAACTTGTAATCAATCAGTGTATTCACTCCCAGTCAATCTTGCCTTTTTGCACTGTCACTATGTTGAAATGCCCTGTAGTATGACCTTCTCCCCACCAATTCATTATATACCATAATTGTATCACATATGTTACTTGTATATTATTTGTCAATCAAGAGACCCATTCCCCAATTATGTAACTATATTTTCAGCCTTCCGGCTGCCATGCTCTTTCAATAAATCGTTAATTATTATTATAAATACTGTATTATTATTACTCAGTCAAGTGCACTTACCTGGAGCGGACAGACACTCGCCCCACAAAGGGTCACAGCTCAAGGGTGAAGAAGTCGCAAGCCCAGAAAAATGTGAGGGGTGAACTCTTGGAACAATCTGCCAGTGTTGACTGCACCGAGCGTGAGCTCTTTCAAGACCAGATTTGACAAGCACTGGAGGAGGTTCACTTTTTTACTTTTATCCTCTTCACCACTGATCGGTTCGTTAGCCGCTTGGGCGATTGGTCACGTCTCTGTTACAAACTGTAGGCAAGTACTGGGCATGCACTGGCTCCTGAATATATCTGAACCTGCTCCAGTGTTGGTCAAGTCTGGTCTTGAAAGAACTCACACTCGGTGCCGTCACAACACTTTCTGGTAGACTGTTCCAAGAGTTCACAACTCTCACTCGGAAAAAGTTTGCCTTCACAGTTTTCTGAAGCCAGTGCATGCCTAGTACAGTCTCTCCTCGACTTACGACGGGGTTCCGTCCCGACGACCAGGTCTTAAGTCGAAAAGGCAAAAATAAAACATAGACATTCTAAAATGGTGTCTCTCTTACTTCTCAGCACCACAAGAACTCTCAGTTTTACTCTTGCCAGCCATTTTAAAGGGGATTACAAACGAAAATTTTGTCAGTACACAGCGCAATCACTAACGTTGGGGCTCGAAATACGTAATGTGAAAAATATTTTATACGACCATGGCCATCGTATGTCCGGGTTGTCGTAAGTCGAAGAGAGGCTGTACTTGACAAAAGTGCATAACAGAGACCGATCACCCAAGCGGCTAACAAGCCGATCAGTGGTGAAGAGGATAAAAATTAAAAAAATAATAAATGAAGGGTTGAGGCAGGTAGATGTTGGTCGTGTCGCTGGGCTTCCTCCGATGTTATAACCGTGTTATGTCATATCCTGACATGAATATGGCGTGAAAAAAGATTGGTTCTGATATGTGAAATCTCGCGAGATTACCTGAAATACAAAATTATCCTGTAAAGTATAGTCTTTTTTAATTAGCTGCAGGACGGTCCTGCATAAACTGTAGGCTCAGCCCATTAAAGAAGCAGCTGCACTGAGTGTGAAGTCATTTATGAGCAGACTTGACCAAAATTGGTGTAGATTCAAAACTTTATATACACTCAGGAGCAGGACATATCCAGTACAGTACTGTATTTACCAACAGTGTATATCAGATGTGACCGAGGGATTCAAGAAGATAACAGGCCAGTCGTTTACCGTGTCCAGTTGGCATACCATAGTGGTCTACCACTCTCCATACTCTCTAGATACAGGCAGGCAAATAATGAAACTCATCATTGGAATATAAATACTTCACATTTTAAAGAAAATAATTAACACTACTAATACATAGAAAGTAGTAAATGTTCAAGGTAATTATCAATGACAAACCCATCGCCGATTTTTCATAGAATATAATCCTAAAAATGACGCATTTTCACTGTTTTGCAGTGGACACTGCCATGGTATGGGCAAATGTGTTGAAGACGAAGTACATTCATTTCTGCTACAACGCGATAGTTGCGTTCTTGTGAAACCTAGCGCAATAGAAATAAGAGAGCTTATGGAGAAAATCGGGTGAGGTGCAGATTACTCAAAATTTCTGTATTGTCTCTAATGGTGAGTAACGTAGACTCCTTTATTCCCGTTGCACGAACAATATTACGTTCTTTCATTACGTTCAAAACGCTTAATAACATCTTTTACTTTTATCCTCTTCGCCACTGATCGGCTCGTTGGCCACTTGGGTGATCGGTCACGTCTCTGTCACACACTGTTGGCAGGTACTGGGCATGCACCGGCTCCTGAATGTACCTGAACCCGCTACAGTGTTGGTCAAGTCTTGTCTTGAAAGAGCTCACACTCAGTGCCGTCACAACACTCTCTGGTAGATTGTTCCAAGAGTTTACAACCCTCACTCCGAAAAGTTTGCCCTCACAGTTTTCTGGACTTGCGGATTCTTCAATCTTGAGCTTCTCTTCAAGTGTTATATAGCCTTTCTTTTACTTCACCACCGACTATTCAATCACCAGAACGCTTCTTGGAAACATTCTTCTTACCTTGTCTTTCCATATTCATGGCTAACACAACAAAATTGGAGAAAACAGCATAAATCACGGAGGACACCAAAGAGAACTCAACACAACTCGCGCGGGTGTAAAGAGAGAGCGCTGATGTAAACCGTTATTAGTCTGCACTGTGAAACATTATTTTTACTTATTTATGGGTAGCAGCTAAATTTGCAAAAAAAAAAAAAGAACCAAATTTATAGAGTACCTCTCAAAAAACACTTCACAAACAAAACACATGAATCAATTGAACATGTGATGTCGAACGTGAACTGTAAACACTGCATAACCCCGCGCCACGGTGAAGAGGGGATCACGTTATAGCCAACACTTGTCTGCCAAAGGTTGTGTGTTACAAACAGCGTTCCCCTTTTCATCAATCGCGTTATAACCAATTCGCGTTGACAAAACACACGTTGTAGTCCATGTGACAGGTCACATGGGAGAAAATTTGGGTACTTATTAACACTAAAGTGACATGTACAGGCAGATCAGCTGCAATTACACTAGAGTTTTTCAGCAGACTTAAGCTTACCAACAATTTATGTATTGAGTCTTATATAGGGAGAAAGAAAAATACTTTATTTTATTATGTTTCCATTGGAAATTTAAATTTTTCGAGCATTTAAATTGATATGACCCCCCAATTACCAACAATATTAGTTCAAAGTGGGCAGGTATTTGAAATAGAGGGAAAATGAAGGGTAAAATACTAAAAGAACACAAAACAAACCTTTAAAAACCTTTCCTAACTTATAAAAATACAAAAAAAAATCATAAGAATAAAGATGTTCCCGAATGCATAAACGTTTTTAACACAGGTGTATAAATATTTATATATGATAGTATGACTAGTTTAAATAAAGTCTAGATTATTATAAATAGTCTAGCATAATATATAGGCCATTAAATCACGTTTTTAGCCTTATTAATAGAGGGTAAAATGCGATAAAGGTAAAAGAACTGCGCACGCTTAGAAACCAGAATATTAGAAAATAAACAAATTTACCTGGTAGCGAAGCTGTCACCTTTGCCAGTTATAAACTATACACCACTACAGTACCACGTTACCTGTCTATGGGAAACAGCAGACGCAGGTAAGTGCTTATTTTAATTCTAGTAACTAATTTTCTAAAGTTAAAGAAACAGCAAAGGCAAATATACTGCTGGTGACCGTCAGTGGTTAAGTAATTATGAGGGTTTTTTTTTAAGAGTTTTGGTAAAACTAGTTTTGGACAGTACCCCTAGTAGTTGTGAGAAGACGCATGTCGCAGTTACTCCCGACCCACGCGCTTCCACTGCTCATCTACTGTATGTGGACAAAAATCGAAAACTTACACATGGAGACAGGTCTCACATCTCTCCAAACCAAAGCGGAACGATTAACAGCGAGTTTTGCAACAAAACTGATTACCAGGGCTCCGGAAAGTGACATCAAGAATGGACTCTTACTCTTCGAGGTAGTAGATAATGACGAAAATTACGATGTTATTTACTTAGACTTTAGCAAAGCATTTGACAGAGTACCGCATCAGAGGCTTCTGAGAAAAATTAAGGCTCATGGTATCGAGGGGAAAGTTTTAAATTGGATAAAATCATGGCTCACCGATAGAACGCAGAGGGTCAGCGAAGATGGTGTTAAATCTGAGTGGGGCCGTGTAACCAGTGGGGTTCCTCAGGGGTCAGTACTAGGCCCACTTTTGTTCATAATCTACATTAACGATCTAGATACTGGGATCAGCAGTGACATAAGCAAGTTTGCGGATGACACCAAAATAGGGCGGCAAATTAATTCAGGGCAGGATGCAAGTGCATTACAGGAGGATCTAAATAAACTGCAGGGGTGGTCTGAAAAATGGCAAATGAAATTCAACACCAGCAAATGCAGCGTACTTAATATTGGAAGAACAAATACTTATAATGTATACAGCCTTAACAACATCAACCTAGAGAAGTTGCCTTGTGAAAGAGACCTAGGGGTACTTGTAAGCCCGGACCTACGGCCTAGAAAACAGTGCGTTAATGTTCGAAATAAGGCAAACAGAGTATTGGGTTTTATATCCTGAAGTGTAAGTAACAAGAGTGCAGAGGTCTTATTGCAACTATATCTTGCGCTAGTCAGGCCGCACCTCGATTATGCGGTTCAGTTCTGGTGCCCCTATTATAGAATGGATATAAATTAACTAGAGTCGGTGCAGCGAAGAATGACAAAAATGATTCCGGGACTTAGAAACCTTCCATATCAGGATAGGTTAAAGAAACTTAACTTGCATTCCCTAGAAAGACGAAGAGTGCGGGGAGATATGATAGAAGTATTTAAGTGGGTGAAAGGAATCAATAAAGGGGATAAAGATAAAGTTCTTATAATATCCGAGCAGGATAGGACTCGGAGCAACGGATTCAAGTTGGATAAGTTTAGGTTTAGGAGGGAGATAGGAAGGAACTGGTTCACAAATAGGGTGGTGGACGAGTGGAACAAGCTTAGCAACTTTGTAGTAAGTGCGGGAACTCTGGAAAGTTTCAAAAGGAGGCTAGATAGATTCATGGATGATAGAGAGTGGTAGTAACTCTCGACAGGAGCTGCCATGCGCAGGCCAACCGGCCTATTGCAGACTCCTTATGTTCTTATGTTCTTATGAGCACTGAACCTTAACAAAGATGTCTTTAACAAGAAAACATGGCTATTGTGCGCAGCTGACTCTATATATCGACTGAAATTGAAAGACACAATCCTCAGCAAAGGACCTGATACAATGATTCCAGACTACAGCACTCGAGCACCGTGGGAGTTCCCGCCAGCAGTCTTCAACATTCTACAAACTGGGACAAGAAAAGCTGACTGTAACCCACATGAGCTCCGACAGATAGCAGAGAGAAACATGAAGGCTCTAACACCACACAATAGTACAGTGTATTACACAGACGGTTCCGTAGAGACCACCAGTACGAAGGCAGGAGCAGCCTTCACTATAGGAGGTAACACGTCCCTTTGGAGAACATCAGATGGATGCTCTACTTTGCAAGTTGAGCTAGCTGCCATACTTGGAGCCCTAAGACACGCTTCCATAAACAGTCAACAAGGCATTGTAATACACACTGACTCACGATGCGCTATTGAAGCACTACAATGCAGAGAGCCTAGAGACAACATTCATCTCATAACATCCGTTGTTGGACTACTGCAAGGTTTAAAACTACAAGATCAGCAAGTTATCATTAACTGGGTGCCCAGTCATATCGGAATCCCAAGGAATGAACGAGCTGATGCTGCTGCCAAGGCTGCGTTAGAACAGCGAAACATTGAGATGAACATCCCGCCCAGTCAGGAGCAGATAAAGAAGACCACAATAACACGAACTGCCCAGTGGAAAATAGAGAAACATAGAAGATTAACACCAGTATCACGATCGGCCAGGTGGTACTATCTGGTCACGAATTATGAGACCACCATTCATGAAGGATATAACAAGAAGGGAAGAAGTCAACTTCCACCGACTAAGACTGGGATACCCATGCATTTGGGAAATAATTGTACCAGCACCAGCAGAGCAGCCCATATGCAAGACCTGCGACAGCGGAGCAGAAAACACACTGCAGCACTACCTCATAGAGTGCCCTGGAACACAATTAGCTATGAGAAACATACAACCCCCTAACACAGCAGAGAAGGTTGCCAGAATGCTAACCCACCAACCACTCTCAAGAAACCCTACAGTTTCTTACCGAGCATCCCCCCCCCCCACACACTAGTGGTGGAGATGTACATTTAACCAAAAAGACGCTGGTGTTTTATCCCAGCAGTGGGTGGACCAGCATTTTAGCTTAAGGTCCGCGTAGGTTATATTCCTACAAATCTATATAAAAAAAAAAAAAAACGATCAGTCATAAAATGTGAACAAGATGAGACCCCTCACAAGACAACTGTTATTCTTACATGTTTAGTGCATTAAGTTTAAAGAAGTTTCAAGTACAGTAGAAGTGCATTTGGGTCGATACTATTACTCAACTTTTAAAGAATTCTATTGATTTGCTCCTTGTTCATATCATTGGGAGCCGAACGCTAGGTAGAAATCGCTCTTGCTGGCTTGCAGTTCGCTCGTTTAACCAGTTTAGAAAAAAAAATAGCGTACTATTTAACAGTCGTGACGTATTATGGGAAACATACTGTACTTGAAATTTATTTATTTTTGACTCTCAGAAGGATCAATCGAGACATGTTAATTAATTTTTGTCTGCTGTACATTTATGTTGACAAATCACAAACCCGACACACACCACCACCACTTTTGGAGCCGTTCTGTTTAAGCCCAAGCCCAGGGAACTTTATGTAGCATTCATTTTCTGGGTTGGTGGAAGAATCGTGCTTGGCGATCACCTGGAAAGGACTTAGTTTTAATTGAATTGATTTATCATTTGATAAGTTTTATAAACAAATGGAAAATTGCATCGGAAAATCAAGGTCAACAAACAAGGGAAATCTGGGTGTGGTGTACCTGGTCACTGACACTCCCGCTCACAATGCTTCAGAGTGGTGGTTGAACCATTCGAAGGCCCGCCCTATTCACCACACCTGCCTTGAGTGATATCAATCTGTTCCCCTGTTGAGAAGAAACACATTTGGGGACAGATTCAAGTGATCAGGACGTGATTGTCTGCTGTGAAGTGCCTGGTTAAGGGGCCGGGACACACTTTCTTAAGAGGAATACAGGGTTTGGTGCATTGCTCGTCCAGGTGCACTTAAGTTCAAGGAGACTTGTACAATACGTTGAAGAATAGGCGTACTCCTTGTCTGTCCATCACCCCCTATCCTCCATTACCTACCTCTCTCTCTCCCATCTCCTCGCCGTGGCCTGCGTCGCGTGGAGAGTTAGCGTGTTGAACATAACTGTACAGCGAGGACTCCCTGGTGTTGTGGTCAGGTTGAGCGAGACATGCCGCTGATTACGGGGGGGAGGTGGAGGAGGGAGGAGCGAAGGTGGATAAATGGGGAGGGGGAGTTAAAAGTAGAAGGGAATAAAGAAAGAGGATAGAGGAAGTCAAAGGTGGAAGGAATGAGCAAGAAGACAGTAAAGGAAAAGATGGGTACAGAGCAGGAGGGAAAGGGGAGGAGAGTGAACAGTACAGTATACGGTCCTTTTTTTGTACCGCTGCGCTGGTGTTCTTGACTGTTTCGGCAACCAGAAGCAATTTATAAAATCCACTCGTTTGCGGGCATCTAACTTTATAAAAGCCACGTCAGAGTAAGAAACTTGAAGCGATTTTTAGCACCTAGTCCAGGAGACGCGATAGTCAGAGCCGAAATACTGAGGCCTGTAAACATTTCCACTGTTTAATACAATATTTATAAAAAAAAGTCCTTATACCATAAGATTAAACAAACCGTTTGAGCCGAGTGACCCAAGTGCTAAAATAAGATACTTTTCAACCATCACGCGAGAATTTGTAATACAAAAATGACTGTTGATCTATAAGAAGTGATTCGTTGATTTTAAAGAACTTATCAATCGTATTTTTGGTTTGGAAAATGGCAGTGATGGATACCCGAGGTTAAGTAACGTTTCCATTTTACTCTCACGTCAATTAGTAATTAAGTCCATCCCATAATGCCTCAACATCATCAAAATGCTGGTGTATTGCTCATGTCGTGGTAAGTTCCCTGACAACTTGACAAGTTTTGTTGATGAAGGTTCACTAGTTCTTAGTTTTCTTTGACTTTCAACCATACAGTATACCCATTTTCTCTTAATGTTTCATTTGAAGGACTACTGTCACATTCTACACTAAAAATATAATCTACAATCTACCTCAACATTTACAATCTACCTCAACATCTACACTCTACCCTAACCTGACCACATCCTGTAAGATAATTGCCATATTCGTTCAAATTACCCTTGATAGCAACATTTCCCTTCGTCGTTACTGTTGTGTGGTTCTGTAACTTCTCAGTGAATTTTTTTGTCGCTACCTCTCTGTTGGGGTGCATTAAACTTCTACCCAAGTAACTTTGCCTTCTCTAAGAAATTATATTTTTATGTAATATGAGCTTCACGTCGTAGTGTCATTATATTTGAGCTCCTGGGCACGTCTGACCGACTTGTGGGTCAGATGTGAACTGGTGATGGAGGTAGTGTGTGTTGTGGTGGCTGTAGTGTGCATTACATTGGGTGGTGGTGTGTATAGGGACATTGGGTGGAGGTGGTGTGCATCAACTTAAGGTGGATGCGTCATGTAAGGACGAAGGTGGAGGTGTGTGTTAACGGGGTGGAGGTGATGTGTAGGGGGGAGTTGGGTGGAAGTGGAGTGTGTGATCATAGGGTGGATCACCGTGGATGCGTCATGGTGGGGGGGGGGGGGCGGGGGGCTCTGGATGCCGAGTTCCCTAACAGTCTAGCTGATGATTTGTGAGTCACAACATGGGCTGGATCTGTTAACTTTCCACTTCGCGGAACACATCACTGCCTGGAACGGACGGGCTATTTATATTTGTTTCGTGTAAACTTGATAAATCTTCCTCAATATCCATGTGCTAGTATGTTTGTTTTGGTTGAGTTCCATTGTCTTTTAAAAATATCATCGACGTTTATAAGTTTTATGAAGAGTAATACGTTACATGTTGATGGTACAAACGACTAACATGAAACGCTATTAATATTTATGTTCTGAGAAAGTTCTAGAGCAGGAAGACACAATTACGCCTAGTAAGTGTTGGGTAACTCGTGCAAACTTCCAGATACTTGCGAGAGGGAGGTATTGTACGTGTTTCCTGTATCGTTCAGGAATTACGTGTTATACGAAGATTCTCGAGAGTATCAAAATTCAACACTTTCTGATCCTTCTGTTTCGTTATTAAAGTAAACATAAGTGGTCTCTTTATCTGTAATAATTTACAATGGCAACTTCCTCTATATATTTTCTGATTCTTCTTTGAAAAAAAATATTGTAAGTTGCGGTATTTTTAGTTTGTGTGAATATCATTTAACACTCCCTCGCACACTTCCTTTTGAGACTTACATACCAAGATTACGAATAACAGTCAGGCAATGACACATTCGTAATACTAAAGAATAGTGTGAGTGGCAACTGAGGGTGCGCCCCGCCCACCGGCCGGCTGTAATGGTGAGGGCAGCTGAAGTTAACAACAGTAGAGTGTGAGGGAGCGCGCAACGAGGATGGGGGTACGCAACGCAATCACTTTGGCTCTATTTGTGGCCTTTGTCACGGCTAACAGGGAACCCGCCGCACTTGCCAATAGAGATTTCTTCAGAAACAACGATAATTTGTAAGTACAGGTACTTTTAGGTTTATGAGCATTATTGTTGAAACTTAAATATTTGACAAAGTACCTTAGTGAAGGGTTAAGGAAAAACTACGTCTATGATGTTTACATATTTTTAGTTTCAAGGAATTTTTTGTTGTTGAATTTAGTAAGACAACTTACATTTAGATTGATAGGGGTAAAGAGTTGACGACTTGTCTTCACCTGAGGTGGGTGAGGGATGGATGATGGTGGTAAGAGGAAGTAGAGTAAGGCGTGTGTTCGTGGGTGTAGTGTACTCCTCCGTTACCGCATCAGGACACTTTCCGCAGCCTGGGTACTGTAGTTTCATCTGGTGCTGACTACTAGACCCATGATGATGGAATACAAACCCGTAATAAACAATAGGGGGATTAAACCAACCTCCGTCTACCTTCCCCCTTACAGTAAAGAGATAAATAATAGCGTCCTCAGAAGACGTTAGCAACAGGTTTTAAGCGTGATGGTGTAAGTCATTTGTTTCCGTGACAGCCCATGTCCTTAGCTATTGTTTATATTCGTTTCCTGTATGTTAGGATTGTCTAATAGTTATGTTGGTAAGAATCTGTCCACGCTGCGTACTTATTCCTTATTCGGTAACTGTTAACTCAAGGTATACGGTGTTAGGGTATTATTATTTTTTTTTTTTAAACCGTCAACAAAAATTTAAAATCCATTTAAAGATTTACGCAAAACAACTGCTAAAATGAGGAACTTATTACAAATGCCAAAGGGTGTTTTAACTTTAATATATTCGTTGACAGTAATGTACAGAAAATAAGTTGATAATTAATGAATGCATCGGGAGCTACTCTACTGATAAAAACTCCAAATAATGTTTATCCCAGTGAACTCTTTGGTCTTGTGATGAAACCCTGAGTTAGTGAGTGTCTGTGTGCTTGTTTGCTCACTTAGTGTACACATTTATGTATACATCCGTGTTTGCTTGCATTACCGATTATATGAAGTGTGTACAATCGAGCGTGTTCGTGCGTGTTAAATGATTACGTATGTTAACGCACATAATTGTTATTTGCAGACTTCAAGAAATGTAAATGAAATAGCATTTACAGTATTAATACTTACGACGATATATTTCTGGAGGTGGCATCATTAATAGACACAGAAAGGTGAAAAGTGCAGTCAGACAATTCCCGTTATTTGGCCGAGACTAAAGTGATGGCTGGAGTTGGATGCACTCCGGTTACGAGCGGCATTAAACGCTGCGTAGCCTCAAGTTGCGTGTAGCGGGTCTTGTTAATCCGTGACGTATATAAATATAATCAAACGTATGTAGATCTACGTTGATTGTACTGAGGTAAAACATTGCCTATTGGATAATTAAATAAATGACAGCCAGAACGCCGATGATTGATTGGTTTTTGACACTTTGGAGTGAATGAATCCATATAGGAGTGTCTATTCGGTTATTAACGGTTGTCTATTATTAATTACTGTATTTTTTCGATGGTTACAGGCAGCTTTACAAACTTGTTGAATTTTTCGTAACTGCCGTTTAGAGCTTGTACAGTACAATAGCAAGCATAAAATTAGGTTTTTTGAGGGGTTAAATTTCTTTTGTCTAAGATGGTAAAATTTCCTTTAAATCAGCTGTAGTGAAGTAATACATCACCCACCCTCCACCAATACAATGCAAAGGGAATTGCTGTTTACACACACGATACCTTTGCTTGGGTACTACCACTGAAATTGTCACGGGTAAAACATATTATACTTGGAGGAGTATGATCCCATGAACGAGCAATTATTTAGCTTTTATTTTTATTGATGACCATTAATATCAACTCGTGTGAATAATCACCGCAAGCTTAAAGTAAAGGAGGTGATAGGTGTATCTGTTAACGATTTTCAGTACTTGATAATGATTTTAGAGACATTCATAAAAACATAACCTGAGAGATATTTTGAGTGATATTACATTAGATTTGAGATCAACACCTTGTTAACTAGAAGATTCAGTTCCTGATGATTGATAGGCTGCTGCTGCTGCTGCTGCTGTGCCCACTTGTGAATGAGAACGTGACTATAATGTTTGGGAGAGTGAAGACGGTCGAGTAAACAACAAGAGGACAGTAACATAGTGAAATCAAGGCCTGCTTGTAGCTTCTTGGAAACACGCCCGTTTCTTCATTTGGCCTTGGTTGATATATTTGTTTTCAATATTTAAAAATAAAATTCGACGGAAGACACCTCGGCATTACGTGACTGAGAGTCTTCAATATTCTCTTCTCTTTTTGTTATTGTCGAGAAAGCGATTTCTAAAAGTTAAAAAGTAGATATTAAAGCTCTTTTAGAGGGTCATGGAAACCTGCCGACATGTACGTAGAAATAACAAGATGGGGCCGAGGAGAGAGGACGGACAAGCAGGAAAAGCTTACTAACCGGATTTAAGCCAACACTTGTGGGTGCGACTTAAGCTGCCAGGGGCGCGACGACATTGTTCACGCGCGCTCATTTATTAATAAGCTTCCTGGCGTTACCTCTTATATACAACGTTTTAAGGATGTTTTATACAAGAAGAAGCGTGAACGCGAGAAACTAAACGTATTAATGCGTTCAAATATACAGTTATTGTGATCCTGTGATTATCACAGTTCGTGTCTGCCAGGGTGAAGGGCAGCAGGACATTGGATGATTAGGATATTGTGGCGATGAATGTGAAGAGGAGAGTCGTCGTGAACATCGTAATACTATATCAACGTATCCTAAAGCTGCAGTATTTGATTTTGTCAAGTTATTTTACGTCTTCAGTACTAAATGACATTGTTTTGGACTTCTAAGCTATTTTCGGCAGTATTTTGACCCTTCCGTCCTCCCTTGACAGTTTTAGTTAGTAACGAGTTAGGTTTAGACAAATGTGTCGTGGAGGCTGCGGGTTATTGTGTGGATCTGATACACCAAGATGCCATTATATAAACAGAGGTCCTGTGTTTTACCCAAATGTTTAAAGTCTACAACTTCTATTTTACTTAAGACCCATTTAGTATTGACACGAGGTTATCATATTTCAAGTACAGTACACAGAAATAATGATGTGACGGGTTACATGAAATTGGCCATACTTAAAAGCGAAAACGTTTAAAAAAATAATGTACTGGAGGTTTTTTGTAAAGTAAAAAAAAAAAAAACTCAAGTGTGGCCCAAGGTGGCGGAGGTTACGGATGCCCACAGGCAGAGAAAGCGACGGCTGGACCTTCCCAAATTTCCCATAAAATCCCGGACCTGTTGACGTCAGTATGGTTTGCTTGGTGTATTTTTCTTGTGGCGTTTACATCCGACGGAGAATTCCACTGTTCAAGTGTAAATACGTGTTGTATTAACAGACGATGTTGAAGAGATTTTTTGTTGTTGTGTTGGTTGGTGTGCAAGACCATTAGCTGCGCATGGAACACAAATAACACAACCATTCCACCACCCACACTCCAACTCTCCTCCCGATTGTTTCTGAACGCCGAGCCTAGAGCCCCCCCCCAGCAACAGAAACGGACTGACGCTGCCGACCTTCAAACATTAGAGGTGACCTTACAATGCAACAATAGAGACATCTTCAGATCTGTGAAGTAAATACATTTCTTTGGCTGTAAAGACGAATCATTGTGAAGAGGTCATGGGACATCTGGACATAGAAGTTGAAGGGTTATTTACAAACACTGACTAATGTCCATTGGTTGTGTTGGATTTTAAATAGCTTGATAATACTTTGAGGGCGCCTCACCAGAATGAATGGAGAGTATTTACGTGTGCTGACAAGAATCCGGGGGTGCATTTGTGGACGTAGGACCGAGTATGAAAAATGTAAGTTAACGTAAGTTTTCCAAGTAACGCCGGAATGGTTGTGCTAGTATTTATTTTTTTCGTATGTATGATAATATATATGTTTGTGTAATCTATGAGAGATCTTTCCTACCTGTATCTAACTTTCCAACAGGGGAACTCTCCCCTGCCATGACTGTATAAACAGTAGACCATGTTTCACCTGACCTGCAGAACATTAATTAGTATGATGAATGTGTCTACTCCTCTCCTCCACTTTGGCTGCCTTATTACCCCCCTCCGCCCACCCAGGAAGAAACGTAAAGTATACTATGTACATACAGCTTTACATTTGTTTGTTTGACCCGGAGATGCGAATACAGAAATCGATTTTGTAGCGTTAGATTTCAGCCAAATAAAGTATGTGAAGTTAAGCTTCCAGACACGTGCAATAGATGGCGTGTTCCGTCCACATTGTCCAGTTATGTCCTTTTTGGACTTTGCTGCCGGGCGGTGGGAGGTTGATATGAATAGATTTACTTTCCCTATTGATCCTAAAATACACGACACAGCTAATTCTTATACAGTATTTTTTTTGTAGATTTAACTGTCTTAACAGATAATTAACGTGACGTAACTAATAGAAAAGAATACAATTGGGAAGTGTATACAGTGAATTCTTTTATTGTATCATGTTGGCTCTGTATACAGGAAGGTTACGGTGTATCAGTAGTATTGTGCGTGTAATCGACTTAGCCTATGTTGCTTGCGGAAAGAATGTACCTGTCTGCCTGGATGTTATTATCTGCCTTGCTTTTGTCATGTTGAAATAGTGACTTAATGCATGGAGTAATTTTCTAGGTAATACACGGCCGCTCCCATCCCACCCTCAGCCTTCACTCACCCTCCCTCTGTTACGATCCTCCGCCCCTCCACTCCTAACTTACCTTGGTGGGGCTTCTTTCTGGGAATCTGTATGCTGATGTGTAAGTGTGGTGGGTGCGGGTGGCGTCAGAGGATATGGTAGTGGTGACGAGGTTAAAACGCACCCTGAAACCAAACTTTTGTAATATTTTGGTCTTTTAATATGTACAATACAGTTCCATTAACACTATTTTCCTTTTTATGATATCCCCAAATACTGAAGTAGGCAGATACAATAAACTGCGCCATGATTTCTTACACGCTATTGTTTGTAAATATATTTTAATTCTGTGGAGGGTGGCATAAATAGTTGACAATAAAAGGGATGTTTTGGTGAGTCATCAGGCATGGAGGCGGTGTTGGTGTTATGAAGCCTTGTTATACTGCCCATTGTTCTATGCTGGGTCTAGTGTTGTCACCTGGGCCACTTACTGTTGTTGATATTGTACAAAACACGACTGACTAACTTCCCGGACACCCAAGCTGCGTATGTATTGTACGGTTCTATTTGCGCAGTTAGATGTGAATTTTTATTTATTTTGAATTAAGCCCTAAGTATTATTATTTTGCAATATCATTTACAGATTAATAGTCTTCTGAAATACTACATTTAAGTGTTACGTTAGTGTTACTTGTTATAGACAGCAAATAATGTACTTATTTTTGTGTTCCTTAGTGACCAAATTAAACTAGAGAGTTTCAGTTATCTAGTGAGTCCGGAAAATATACACAGTAACGCCTATTGATCAATTATAAATGCAAGTGTAAATATAAACCAGATTATTCTCTTTTGAAAATATTCCTACTCACATGAACAGTGTAAACATGACCACCTCAGCCACACACTACCATATAAACACCATCTAGTTATTAGGTGGTAATGTGTATCGGGTCAGGCAGCTTTAAGACTTCCAATCCCGATTAAAAGACTGACTCTTTAGCCCTTGATACAGCGGGCGTGTGATGTGGAATGTGTCTCCTGACCCAACAACGATCATTGACTCGAGTCCTGCGGCTGACCATGGAGTGGGATAACAGTTGGTGATTGGTTGCATAACTTTCAGGTTGATGAAGTGAAAGGCGAGTTGAGTGGATTGCTGGCCATGCTGTCGTAAGGCGAGTTGAGTGGATTGCTGGCCATGCTGTCGTAAGGCGGGTTGAGTGGATTGCTGGCCATGCTGTCGTAAGGCGGGTTGAGTGGATTGCTGGCCATGCTGTCGTAAGGCGGGTTGAGTGGATTGCTGGCCATGCTGTCGTAAGGCGAGTTGAGTGGATTGCTGGCCATGCTGTCGTAAGGCGGGTTGGTGGATTGCTGGCCATGCTGTCGTAAGGCAGTGGATTGCTGGCCATGCTGTCGTAAGGCGGGTTGGTGGATTGCTGGCCATGCTGTCGTAAGGCGGTTGAGTGGATTGCTGGCCATGCTGTCGTAAGGCAGGTTGAGTGGATTGCTGGCCATGCTGTCGTAAGGCGAGTTGAGTGGATTGCTGGCCATGCTGTCGTAAGGCGGGTTGAGTGGATTGCTGGCCATGCTGTCGTAAGGCAGGTTGAGTGGATTGCTGGCCATGCTGTCGTAAGGCAGGTTGAGTGGATTGCTGGCCATGCTGTCGTAAGGCGGGTTGAGTGGATTGCTGGCCATGCTGTCGTAAGGCGGGTTGAGTGGATTGCTGGCCATGCTGTCGTAAGGCAGGTTGAGGATTGCTGGCCATGCTGTCGTAAGGCGGGTTGAGTGGATTGCTGGCCATGCTGTCGTAAGGCAGGTTGAGTGGATTGCTGGCCATGCTGTCGTAAGGCGGGTTGAGTGGATTGCTGGCCATGCTGTCGTAAGGCAGGTTGAGTGGATTGCTGGCCATGCTGTCGTAAGGCAGGTTGAGTGGATTGCTGGCCATGCTGTTGTAAGGCAGGTTGGTGGATTGCTGGCCATGCTGTCGTAAGGCGGGTTGGTGGATTGCTGGCCATGCTGTCGTAAGGCAGGTTGAGTGGATTGCTGGCCATGCTGTCGTAAGGCAGGTTGAGTGGATTGCTGGCCATGCTGTTGTAGGCTTGGTCGCCTGTGTTCTCTTTCCACACTGTCCCTAATTTGTTATCGGAGGACCAATTTTCACGATATGATCCAGCTGTTGTCAAATTCATGGACCCTCTTGCCTTAACATGACGCCAAGACGTGGGTGCATTTGTTGCCATCTGGGTGTATTTGTCGGTGTGTGTGTGTAAATGCCACAGTAATATCTCCTCCGTTTCATATTAACTTGTGATAAAACTGCAGGAATGATAGTCTCGGTAAGCTGTCTGATCACTGATGAGACAGCACTTGGTAGTCAGTGACTCAACACACGAGAACGGGTTTACTGAAGCAGGGCGGACGACCACACGGGCAGAGTTCCCACTGGTCACGTAAAACCAGAAAATTGAGTCACTAGCAATAAAAATCAAATATTTTTAGGATATAATATTTACAATACAAAAATAAACATTATTCTAACAGCTAATAAATGTTTCCCAACATTTTCACTAACATTCAGCTCACTGATATTTTTAATAACTTTAGTAACATGTGAATAATTTGCTAATGTATTTTTAAGTTTCCCAAGTGAAAATCGTCAGTTACGGAACATTATAAGTTTTGTTAGAAAATTCCACGTTAGGTGTAAAAGGCCAAACTATTAGCAAAGTCGTATATTTTTTTTTATTATCGTTAAGTTTACTGTTGGTGATGGTGTGCAGTGATCACTACCCCGGAAAGACTTGTAACGGAACATGGTGCCTCTGAGAACAAACCATAAGGTTTTGATTGTATATTATCAGTCTTAATTGGACCAGAACCACCTGTTATCTGTCCTTCCTGGGTCTTCGTGCTTTCTAGGCCATGAGAAGTCCGAGGGCTACGTAGCCAGAATGCTGGGCAGCCTTCCAACACCGCGCTGACCTATACAACATAAGCTTTGTAATATAAGGCCTCAAGATATATGATTTTACTGAACAAGATTATAACCTCGATTATTTAACGACTAAGTCTAAGGCTATTATTGTAAATGTGATAACCCATATTAGTGACATCAAACTGGACTTGTCAAAACCTAAACCTAACCTGACCTGATTTCATACAATATATCTTAAATGATCTGATCAAGTAAAATATCACAAGTTTCACCACAGATTGAATTTCACTGCAAGACCAGAAACCACTTGATCTCTGGTATATGTTGTAGATAATAAAATTAATGCACTCGGGAAATTCGAGCTTTTATGATATGTATTTGTGAATAGTTTGTAATATTTTCTACAGTAGTATATCGTAAGGTTTCTTTATTATCAGTATATTCAAGACACTTTAGCACAGAATGATTGAAATATGTGTGTAGGATGTCGAAGGTAATCAATACTCGTGTTTACTTCTGTGACTCAAGACTTGACTGTCGTGAGTAAACGTCCGTATGTAAACAGTGCCGAAGTAGTGCTCTTGACAGTACCCCACCGTGGGAAATACAACAGTACTTCCCATACTTATTGAGCGGAGCTAAAATATAATTTACTTCAATTAATAGAGGGACATAGTTTGATGTATGAATAACTGACATAAGGGATATCAAATATAAATATTATTAACATTAACAGACACGTAACATTTACATCATAAAGAATCCATTGTCAGTTATGTGTTTGTGTAGAACCTATGGACATGTAACTTTATTTTGTATTTTTATTTATTTTTATTTATTTATTTATTGCTTGTGTCTTGGTACAGCCAATGGCGAGGACGGATGGGGATGGACAGCCTACAGTCCGCCATGGACCAGCTCTCCTCCTCCCTTGACACCGCCATCGACCGTCTCTCTGACAGGATTGAACAGCAGGTGAGACTCGGTTATTGTCTGTCATTATAAGTTATTCTTTGGTGAGTTTTAGGTCATTATGGGTGATTTTGGGTCATTATGGGTGATTTTGGGTCATTATGGGTGATATCGGGTCATTATGGACGATTTTGGGTCATTATGGGTGATCACAGGTTATCGTAATTACAGAAGCGAAGATCAGTTAGAGCTATCTGAGATCAATTAAGAAAAATATCGGTTAGTCCCCTTATGTTTATCAGTAGGTCATAATAGATGTATTATGTGTAGCTTAAATGCGTTGTGGGTATTTTAGGGACATCATGTTGCATTGTAGGTAATTTAGGGACATTATATTATGTTGTGGATACTTTAGGCTCATATTAAGGACATTTTGTTGAATTGTGGATATTTTAGGGAAATGTTTTTGCATTGTGGGTAATTTAGGGGCATATTCTATTGCATTGTGGGTGTTTTCGGTGTTTAGCTTATTATTCTGGGTGTTTTCATTTTGCCACCAGCAATATATAGTGACTTTTAAACCCCAGCCAGTATCTCCTTATCTTGTAGACTGTTTAACCTCCCAGTCACCCTCAAACCCAGTCATAAAGGCTTGTAGGCTGTTTTAACATTGAATCTCCCAGTCACACTCAGGATCTGTAGACTGTTTAAATGGTGAACATCCAGTCACACTCAAACTCAAGTCATACTTAACCCTTAGGCTTGTAGACTGTATTATAATAATAATACTGAGTCATAGCCACCACACTCATATTAGTAACCCTTCCCGTCAGGTGGAAGAGACACTGCCACTATGGATGAGGAACAGCAACAAGGAGCGGGTGGGGACGCTGGAAGGTCAGGGGCTTGAGGCTATCTCTGGAGACCTGGGTGACGGCATCGACGACGGGCTGCAGGTAAAGTAGTGCAATGGTTAATATATTGTACAGTATTTATAATGTGTCAGGTCAGGTCATGGTTAGATCAAATTAGTTGAAGTGTAAGTTTATAAGTGTTAAGTATTCATTAACTCTCTCCTGCTGTAGGTAAACTTCAATGGCGACTCTGAGGGGATCAAGATAGACGGTCCACGCTTCGAGGAGCCGTGGGTGGACAGATCTGAGGTAGATGAAGTTCACCAGCCTGACCGCACCCCGAGCTTCAACTTCAACCCCTTCTTCCCCCAAAGTAAGTTCCTATGCCCCCCTTTGGTCAAGTCTTATCTTGTTTACCGATGGAAGGAGGTCAGTGTAGGATCCCTCCATTGTCCCTTATAGTTTATTTTGGGATTATTTTGAAACCCAGTAGAAAACAGGTATTTGCCCAGACCCGGGATCGAACCGGGGACCTTTAGATCTTCAGTCTAACGCTCTCCCAACTGAGCTATCTAGGCTACTTAGAGTCTAATGGTCAAGCCTTACCTCTTGTAATAAGTGTTGTGGTGTTGTGTTTCAGGATCGCCAGGCAGTAAGCACGGATTCAACCTGTTCGATATGGTCAGTCGGCGACGCTCCTGGTGGAAGGGGTGAGTGTTGATCAGGCTGCTACTACTACAACTGTCTTAGTATACATTTACAAGTATTGAGAATTCTGTATTGTATGTGGAATTATGATATTCCTAATAATTATCCGAATGTTTCTTGGAGAGTAATAATACGGATAACTGAATATACAGTCTATTCCTACATGCAAGTTTCTCTATACGACCATAACACAATGTATTTTTTTCTTCTTCTATCCTTCCCTATTATTTTAAGGATCACTGATTAAAGTTCAAGGTGTCTGATTTTTTTCAGCACAGTAAAACCAGTGTGGGAGGGAAGCTGGGTTATGAGGTACTGTTTGTATGTTTAGTGAGTTGAGTTGTGAGGATGAGGTGGTTGTGGCATTTTGGGTTGAATGTGGGGCTTTGGGTAATTGGTTGTGTTAGACAAGAGTGAAGGTTTTAATATGACAAGAAGTTAGTAATGACAATGGATGGAGCTTTAGTTTCATACCAGCTGAGATAATAATTATGTACTGATCACGAACACTATTAGGACCTCTTGCTTATTTCATCTGATGATTAACACCCTAATTCTAAAGGAGGGGTTAGGTTAGGTTAGGTGTGGTTGGGTTAGCGTTAAGTTAGGTTAGGTATGGATAGGTAAGGTTAAGTTCGGTTATGTACGGGGTAGATTAGCGTTAGGTTAAGTATGGATACGTTAGCATTAGGGTGGTTAATCATTGGGTGAAATAAGCGGAGGATCGTAATCTTGAATGAAGTGTAAATATTCAACAGTAGATGAGAATATTAGTGACCACTGCGTAATATGATGCCAACGGCTTTAAAGAAGAGTATGGTTGTCAGGATGAGTTGTGTAGTGTTGTAGGCTGTGTCAGACGGATGAAGCACTTCCTGGTGAGGATGATGAGGGCCGAGCATCCCATCCTGTGACGCGGCCTTAGTCATGGCTGGCGAAGCGTCATGCACGGGCTGCCAAGTTCCCGTTGTGTGTGTGCCTGCAATATTTACAACTCATAACTTGAGTAGAAAAGGCTTTTTCAGGAGAGCGGCATAATGTTGAACACTTTAGAAACGTCCAATGTTGATATGGCTTCACCCGGCCTGCCGCACAACCACGAACCACCCATAGCTTTAAAGACTGGGTCAAGGGAGGGTAATGAAGGAGTTTAGCCATATGTTTGAGGCTTAGTTCACAGTACAGTGGATTGGAGTTTGTTATTCATTTTATACTTGTGTTGGTCCTTCTATATAATTTGTGGAAGGGTGTGGTGGTGTTAATGGTGGGGGTGGTGGTAATAGTGATGGGGGGAGAGTGCTGGCGGGTGGCGACAGTGGTAGTGGTTGGTAACGGAACTTTACGACGCCTCCACCCACCGGCTTCAACACCGCCCACCGCCCTGTGTTGGCATAGCTTGATGACTTCATTATGTACAAAAACATTTCCCCACACAAACACCCGCACGCGGTGTTCTTTGATGTGAGATTAACCGGGTCGGCTGAACCACTCTTAGTCTGTAGTCACAATTGCCGGTACTAATGAAATTAAAGTCATTTATTCAACCTATCGCTGGACGCTTGGTTATGTTGTAAATAATTACCACGTTCCAAAATAAGGTCTGGATTATCGTATATTTGTGTACGGTAGTCAAAAGAAATTCGTAAATGTACATGAACTCAAAATTATCTTACAAATACGTGGATGTTGTACTGTTCACCAACCCGTTTTAAGACTGACGCCACATGGTGATGATGATGCTTGTCGCGGGGAACACTGTGATGAATCTCACTTGGTGATAGGACACCACACTGCTCCACCAGACCACTTTGTATATATCACCATAACAACCAGAGCTCCCTAACGTAACTAACGCCACATATTGGAATGAAACAAACGCGACCCACGAACATTTCTCTGACTTTATATGAAAATTGGTCTTATTATGAAATATCGACTTTTATTTATATATTTTCATTTCCGATACATGATACGTCCTTATTAAAGGGTATCAAATAACTTTTCTTCCATCTGAAAATATCATAAATTTATTAGTTTAAACAGAAACGTAAATTAAACAATTGCTACGTCATTGAGACAACCAGTCACACCTGCCTCCATTTCTTTACTACTTATATTTTGCTAGTAACGTTCTTACCTTTTCTGTTTAATATTGCTGAGTTGCTGTTACTGTTAATGGACATATATTGTTTATCTTGATTCCTGGGTGCTCGTGGGCGGGATAGAGGGGGGGGTGTAGGTCAAGGTGGAGAAAGCGTACGTCGACTCACATCCCTCCCTCCCCTCCTCGTCACAGTTGTTGTCTATGTATTCCTGTCTCACAACTAAGGTCTTCACTGCTCATGGACTCCTTAAGTAGCTCAGTATACTAGAGACAACAGGTATCAAAATTTCCAGTAAGTTAATGTAAAAGTAGTGATTATCTTTTCTATATAAATAGTTTTGTTTTAAGATTTGGATAGATAGATTGATCGACACAGACGAGGAGGTATTTGACTCTTTGCTGAATCGGTATAGTGTGTGTGTGTGTGTGTGTGTGGTTCATTGGCTGGTCTTGGGGGGGAGGCGGATGAAGGCGACAACAATAACGGGAAGGAAGAAATTAACCGCACTTATCCCTCACGGTGAAGATTACTGTTCTCCGCCCTGTGTGAGTGAATTGCAAGATATTTCCTTCTTTGGTTTACTGTAGCTACAGTTCCTTGCCACCTGTGTCTTGTGTTTCCGTGTTAGTGAAGGTACATAAGGAAACTTGAAGACAGTGCTGCCGAGCGGTTGTGAGGGGCCGTCAGAAGTTCACTAACCTGACCGTGTGTTTTTGTTATATTATGTTTTGGATATTCATGTAAATTGTGCAGGTGAATTTTGCTTATCATTTTACAACGGTTGGCAAGGAAACTGTCAAATACTGTATTACCGTAACTATTTGTAAATAAATGATGAAGGCTGTTGATGTACAATTGTACATGAATGTGTACTAATAAACAATATTTTAATATTGTACTTGTTACTTACAGATGTATCGGTTAGTAATGTAACTTATTTATGAAAATGATTTTATAATTGCCTGTCATAAAAATCGTATTCAACAGTAATGAGAAAAACATTACAATACAGACGTGAGTAGGAACAATATCGCGAGGCGGAAATTGTTTTGTATTTCCTTATCCGAAACAAGTGAATGAGGGCGGGCGTCACCTCTCACGTAACACCATTCACATCGTCCAACCGGGATTCTACACACACGAAAAATAATATATAGCTTGTTTTTGTATGTAATTTAAAGGTAGTTTTTATTTACAAGACTGTTGCTTGGTGTTGTGTGAGGGGTAACGGGGAGTTGGCTAGAGAGCTGCCCGTGGCTTCAGACGTCACCACCACCCGCCTCTTACTTCCCTCCCTATACTATATTAATTCACTGGCTAACACCTTCCCCCTCTCTCTCTCACCTGGCGGGCCTTACCTGTTCTAACGCACTTTGGTTTCCTCGTGTATATTCTGGACGGAGACTTGAGACCCGTGTATCAATTATCTTAGCCACACTACACTTCACCATCACACTACACCATCATCACACACACACACTACAGTATCACACTACACCATCATCAAACTACACCATCATCACACTACACCACACCATCACACCGCACAAAACGGACATAGATAATGATGGGAGACGAGAACAAGGCGGGTTACATCACCATCTGCAGCTGGTACAACACACACACACACACACACACACACACACACACACACATACACACACACACACACACACACACACATACACACACACACTGCCTGACACAAAACCAAAACACACAGACCAGCTAACATGGTCCCCCACACACACACACACATTGGCCGGCGAGGGTTTTGTGTGACACTCGGCGTGGTTGAAGATGTACAGAGTGTGTGTGTGTGAGGAGTGGAGTGGAGTGGAGTGGAGGAGTTGGATGCACGTGAAAATGTGTTAAGGTTAGGATAGATGGTGGTAGTGTAGTTGTTGTGGATGGTGGTGGTGGTAGCGGAGGTCGGTTGTATTCCGGATCTCAACAAGTAACTTATCTTCAATCCATCATTTTTTTTTTTACTCACTAAACTTCAAATCGACCAAGATTATAGATTCCCTGGACCTTGAGTTTTAAAGAACAAATTATTTCATGTAAGGATGCAGTCAGACTCCTACACGCAATTGAATTAAGGACACGCGCAGGATGTTGTTGCTAAGAGGTCCACCAATTACCCCAACAAGACAATAGTGGGAGGCTGGTTGTGTGTGTTGTAGAGCCAGGCATTAAGTTAAGTGAGCGTTTTGTGTTTAAAGATAATATATACATACGTTAGTCGATTGGTATGGTGACTATAAATTCTATAATGTATGTCGTTAGTGTGTTAAGACTGACACACACACACACACACACACACTAGGCTGTCATGTTGCGTCGCCCGGTTTAAAGCGTATGTATTATTATTATTATCATCATCGTTATCATCATCATCATCATCATTATACAGTAGATGTAGCCTGCACACAATGTTACAATAATAATCTTGATGGACGCGTTAAACGTGGTAAAACTCAGAGGTGGTGAGACGCTTGCGGTGGTGAATATACCATAAAGCTTGACTGTACCCACACATAACGGCATCACAAGAGGTCACACTATTAACTTACTTGTTCAACACACGTACACACACACACACACACACACACACACACACCAAGAAAGCTCTGTGGGGTTATAAAAATTTCTCGGTGCTTCTTGTGGACGTAAGGAACAGCTTATCTAGAGCAGGCGGTCATGGCCTTACTGTATAATGTACTTGAGAGACAACTGGACAGGCATTGGGTAGATTAAGATGCCGTGTAAAGAACTAAATTACTAAAGAATCGTGTTTTAATTCAGTAGGGTGGATGGGGCTCTGGGTAGAAAGGTGTGGTGGTGTGTTTGGGGTCATCCTGGGCAGAACTGGGGTCCTCTGGTTGTTACTGGTA